ATGTGGCCCTGCCAGCTCTGGTACAGATTGTTAGGAACACTCTGGTATTTTTCTTTTCTTTCTTTTAATCAGAAAATACCACTTATTCTTAACAGCTCAGGAAATAGTTGGAGAGAAAAAAAAAAATACGTTGTTTCAAAATGCCTGAAATTTTCTGCTTCCTTCCTTTAAAGAATGAAATGGTTGCTTCCTCATATTAAAATAATGGATTTTATGATTTAAAAAATGCTAACAGAACTTTGAAGTTACAATTAGTATTTTCCATATGTACAGTATTAAATTTAAGTAATGAAAACATTTGTTGAACTAATTGGAAAGCTTTGCAGTTTGACTCAAGTGGAATGGAAAAAATAAAAATGCAGGGAGGACGCTGCCTCCTTTGCACTGTGCATCCCAACGAGCTCAATGGATGCCAACAACCTAAATGGGCCAAAGAGCCATCCTCCCCTGAAAGGTAAGGGCTGCAAAACTCAAGGCAAAGAAATCATCATCGTGATTATGATAAAACTGTTTGGCGTAGATTTCAGTGATGCCTGCAAACAAGTCACTGTTCTAATCGAGGGCAGTGTTTTCATCACTTAGAAAGGCAGCACAGCACCCTGCTGTCAGACTGTGACAGTTCCCAGCTAGCAGGTCTAATCAGATTGTCTGCATCCTCAGAGCGTTGTCATCCCAGCTCCCCAGTGTGCTCTGCCCAGGCTGGCTGTAGTTGGGTTGGCTACACAAATCAACAGAGGGGACCTGTGAAAAACAGCACACCACAGAGCATGGAGGAGAAGCTCCCCAGGAGCAGGATAACCAGCTCTGCTCTGTGGATACCAGCAGGGAAGGCCTGACCACTCCAAGTGCACTGCAAGATGTTCAGCTGAAGCACAGTAAAACAAACCCCTTTACTTGCTGACCCAATCATCTGTGGTCCAAGCATGTGCTTCACTCTTCTGCTGCTCCTTCTGAGCCAGGAACTTGTCTCAGCGATGATTTCCACCCTCCAACAACAGTCAATCAGCAGAGTCCTGCACATCAGACTGGACCTCAGTTTCATCAAGGCTGGCCACCAGCTGCTCCCAGCCGGCCACCTTGCAGGCAGCAATTCAGCACAGAAGTATTTCCCCCTATTTTCCCCTTCTCGCCATCATGGCCCATTTTGGTCAAGGCTATGTTACCACACAGATGCTTCAGAGCCACACCTCTCAGTCCCAAGCATGGTCTCAGCATGAAGGGAGTCTGTAATGTGTGTGCTGAGTGCTGGAGCATGTGGAGGGGAAAGTGTCAAGCTGCTGTGCTGCATCTGAGCCTGATTTGAGGAAACTTGCAGGGAAAGTGATGTGAGGGTACCAGTGAGGAATCTCACCGGGGAATCTCACTGCCACAGCTCATCTGTTCTCACAGCTGGGAGCAAAGCTCTTGCAGAGGCAGCACCCAGCAGCTGGAAGTGATTTAGCATCCAATGGACTTTGATTCCTGACATTGCCTGTTGACCCTGTGAAGTACAGGACTGGAAGAAGGGGGAAAGAAATAGCAAGGTCTGCATGCATGCCATCAACAAAAGGCAAAGCACAGCACTCCAAACTACAGAATGACCATATTCATGTGGCATCCTGTTGTGCTCTTTCATTGCAGGTTACCTGCAGCATTAAATCAGACCACTCTGTGTCCACTTGAGCTAATGGTCTGCCTGTGTGCACCAGTGGAGCCAGCAAAGGAAATGGAACTTGCTCAGCATCCCTGGTTCTGAAATATTTCAGAACAGAAAATAATCCTACTGGAAGACTCCTACTAATGCAAAAGCCAATTCAAGGAGCGCTCCTGATTAGGAACATCCTCTATTCAAATATTTTATTAAAAGTGGCCCGAAGAGAAAGAATTTTTATTTTTTAATTCTCATTGCAGCAGCTCTGAATTAAGCAGTGGTCATGGTGTGATCAGGGCATCAAAGCAGAAAATCAGACAAAGGGCCCAGATGCAGAATTTCCTGCCGTAACCTAAACCAAATGCCACTGAACACAGCTTCCCCCAAGGTCTCCCTGCAACACTGCTGCTCACAGCCGAGCTGGTGGCCAGCATCCAGGCAGAGCATTAGTAAAACTAACAGACCAAACTGTTCCCACACTAAGTCCCTTGCTCTTGAGCTAACTTATTTAACTGCTGAGCATCTGAAAGGCATGTTTCATCTACTGTTGCAATAAGCAGTGAGCGGGTATCCATGACAAAATCCAAGGGCACTGCCCTGCAGCCATGAAGCCTTGGCTGAGCAGCAGCAGAAACTGAAAAAGGTCAGAGTTCCACAGTAGCACTGCTCCGTTCTAAAAATAAAGCCCATCAGTTTCTTAAGAAATGAGGGGCATTCTTTAATAGCTTTCAGATCAGACGTGTGCTATCTCAGCACACTTCTCCCAGACAAAGGAGAAATGTACGTGAGGACAGCAACACTGAGCCTCACTGGCAGCTGTTCTGTCCATCCCTGCAAGAGAGGGACAAGAGCAGGGAAGGCTTAACAGCAAGCAGGGAATGGGGCTAGCTTTCTCCTTGCAATGAGTTTGCTATCTACTTTTCTTTGATCCTGCTCTTGTGCTGTCAGGCACACAGCTCCCTCTGCCACCATTTGTTTTCCTTCCTTTAGTCAGGGACGTTTCTATGGTTCTGTACCTGTTTGATCTTACAGTGCTAAAGCTCCCAACAGACTCCGTGCACGTGGTTTGGTGACCTGCAGCTGCTCCGTGTTGGCTGTGGGATACGCTGCTGCTGGAGCCCACTGGGAGGAGCCTTTGTGTATCAGTTCTGCGTCAGCCTTAAAGAGTAGATCAATGTGAATAGAAGTATATTAATGATATTAATGTACATAAGAAATCAGTGAGTTCTCTTAGCTATGTTATCATGAAATTAGTATTCCCAATGTGTGTTAGGATAGGATGCTCTGGATGTGCAATACAGTTCACATAAATCAGGAGTACAGACAGTTGCACACTGCTGCCAGATGAGACTTTTATTACCTCTGTGTTGGGTGACCAGCGTACTTTTAGTTCTTAATAACTACACAGAGCTTTGTAGAGCTGTATGATAGCACATATCAGATCTACATTGCTGCTTCTGTGACTTTTTGCTTGCAGTCATCTCTCACCATTGTGCTGAGCGTTGCCCAGTGTTCCCAAGGCAGCTTTGTAGTTTGAGATACATCCAGTATCTGCAGGAGCTGACCAAAGAAGCTCAAAATGTGCTCTTCTCTGGTATTTCTCTCATCATAATAAAAACACGGGAAAACATCAGCTCTGCACAGCTCCCGCAGCTTCGATCTGCTGGCTGAATCAAATTGCTTGGTTACGGGGAGGCCAGCTCCCCCCCAAATTAAAGTAATTATATGTATCTCTATAATATATACATAGACACTTATTTTTTCTATTATAGATATATAGGCTCTCATAAAGCTACTCTTACTCACTCTCTTTCTCTTTTCCTTCCCACTGTGTTTGGGTAACATCTCAGGCTGTGTTTGTAATAGCTGCATCATGAGACAGGAGATTTCATTTCCCATCCTGTTTGCAGGCTGTGGCACAGCAAATGTGTGCTTCCCCCAGCCCACAGTGGCAGTGGTACAGATCTGCCAGAGTGCGGATTGAGTCCTCAGTTCTTTCTTCTCTTCTGACTGTAGAGAGCTTCCATTGCTGTCTCCGTGAAAGAAGAGGAATTGGGTCTCTTCCTGAGAGAGAGGTGGGGTGCAGTGAGGCAGAAAAGAGAACAGTATGTGTGATGGTTTTTGTTCTTATTAACGTGAGCGTCGAGAGCTGAGATGTTTGTGGTGGTTTTTGAGGACTCCAGGAGCCTTGCCTTCCTTGGGGCAGGAGCCCGTGTGCATGGTTTGAATCTCTGCCACCACGTGGAGCAGAGTGAGGGCAGTTAGGGCTGGTGACTGAATGCCAGCTGGGGTGTTACTCAGCGGGGTGGCCCAGAGGGCAGTTTGTGGGGGAAGCCGTGCAGGCAGAGGGCAGCAATGCGGTGTCACAGAGGTGCAGCTCCCGCTGCGTTCTGACCCCTGAGGTGTGCTGTCAGCTGCAGGCTGTGCTCCTGGGAGCCGATGGGTGATGGTCCCTGGCTGCTCCTTGTTCAGAGGTGCTGCTGTGGGATGCTGGCTGTGCCGGCCCAGCTCCATCTGCTTTCTACAGCAATCAGTGGAAATGTGTCTTAGCCTTAAGGTCTGAGGCTTTAGGAATGAAAAGCTTAATGGCTTTCCTTTCTTCTTTTATGAAGTATAGGATGTTTAGAGCTATGGAAGCAGTGCAAGAAAAAATATTAATGAATAACGATGGAGTGCAGACCTTAATGCATTCCTTTCTCTTGAAATAACTGGCTTTTTTCTATGGGCTCTGTAGAAGAAACGTCTGTAGAGGACAAATCTGTTCAGAAGCCAAAGGATGGAGTCAGATCCTCCAGTGGCTTTCTCGCTAAAATGTTACCCCTGCATTTATCACCTGGCAAAACTCCTTCCTCTGCCCCACGCTAACGCCGTAACGTGGGATGAGCTGAAAGCACTGAAGCTCCGGCTGATGGAAACCCGGGGTGTGAGAGCTGCGGCAGTGTGTGGTGCTGTGCGGTGCTGTGCTGTGCTGTGCGGTGCTGCTTGGTGCTGTTTGGTGCGGTGCTGTTTGGTGCTGTGCTGCTTGGTGCTGTCTGGTGCTGTTTGGTGCTATTTGGTGCTGTTTAGAGCGGTGCTGTTTGGTGCGGTGCTGTTTGGTGCTGTTTGGTGCTGTGCTGTGCAGGAGACCCCCGCCCTCGCAGTCCAGCACGAGGAGGCGGGCGGTGCCGGCGGCGGGCTGTGTGGCGGCACTCCGCTCTCGGCTCCGGCGCCCTTCGGCCCTCCCTCTCCTCCTCCGGGGCCGCTGCCGGTGCCCGGCGGGCGCAGGGCCGGACTACGCGCCCCGAGCGCCTCTGCGCGGCGGCGGTGCGGCGCGGGGCGGGGCCGGGCGCGGCCCTACAAAGGCGGCGGTGCGGCGCGCGGCCGATACTCACCGGCACCGGCGGGAGGGGAGGGCGGGCGGCGCCCGCGCAGACGGGACAAAGCGCGGCCATGAGCCCGCTGTAGGCCGCTGGGAGCCGCCGCCGCCTCCAGGGAGGGAGGCAGGGAGGGAGGGAGGGGGTTCTGGCCGCGGGTGGATGCCGGTTGCGGCCGGCCGCGCCCGGCACCATGCACACCGTGCAGAAGGACACTACCTTCACCAAGATCTTCGTCGGGGGGCTGCCCTACCACACCACCGACTCCTCCCTCAGGAAGTACTTCGAAGTCTTCGGGGACATCGAGGAGGCGGTGGTGATCACCGACCGGCAGACGGGCAAATCCCGGGGATACGGCTTTGTAAGTGCTGCGCTGCGCTGCGCTGCGGGCCGGGCTGCGCGCGGGCGAAGGGCGCGGTGCGATGCCGGTGCCGGTGCCGCTCTGCATCCCCCGCCCGCCGTCCCTTCCCCGCTCCGTGCGTCCCCCAAAGTCCTCGCTGCGCCGGTGCTGCCGGGACCGGCCCCGCTAAGTTCCGAACGGAGCGCCAGGAAGGCGCGGAGAGCCGCCGGCTGAGCGCAGCCCGGAGCGGGGCGCGCAGCCCGTTTGGGCACGGGGCGCTCCGAGGAGCGGAGCGGAGCTCAGCGCCCGAGCGAAGCGCGGCGGTAAACAAAGCGGTCCGGGCGCCCGTTGGCGGAGCGCTGCCGAGACGCGGCCGCTACAAACGGCGCGGTTGTCCTTCCAGGTGACCATGGCAGACAGAGCCGCGGCTGAGCGGGCGTGCAAAGACCCCAACCCCATCATCGATGGCAGGAAAGCAAACGTGAACCTGGCGTATCTGGGAGCAAAGCCGAGGAGTATTCAAACCGGTGAGGAGCCCGAGAGGTCCGTCCCTCTCTTGTTAGGGTTGCTGTGGCACGGGAAGCAGTGCTGGGGCTGGTTTGGCACGCTGCCTGCTCGCCCCTGGGTGCTGCTGGTGGAGGACGCGCTGTGGTCGCGTTACCTCTGTGCCGTATCCATTACCGTACCTGTTACACCAGCACAGCGCACCCAAGTTCGTGTAACTGAGTTAAAGCCCTTTTCTTCCACGGCCGATCTGCTTTCCTGCTCTCCCCTCCGTTACATCAGGGTTAGCACCGAGATCCATTTCAGCATTTTGCCCTGGGCTTTAATTTTACCCGCGGTGCCGGGCAGTAGATGAGGTGTTGTGCCCGTTGTCTGCACTGATAACTGCACTCATACGTTGTCCTTTAATCTGAATCCCCATCTGCTGTGCGCAGCGCACCAAATGAACTTGCTCCTAAGTGGGGTTTTAAGTTTGCTCACACACACAGCACACAAAATGGATGTGCATTGGTCTGATGCTGTGTGTGCGGATCATGAGCAGCAGGACACAGTGGGTGCCATTCAAGTCATATTGTTTTCCTGAATGTTTTTTCAGGTTTTACCATAGGTGTGCAGCAGCTCCACCCAGCCTTCATCCAGAGACCCTTTGGGTAAGTGGATGTGTTTCTTAACAGTCGGTTGGAAATCAGATTCGCAAATCAGCTTCCTTCTTATTTAAAATGCATGAAAAGAGCTTCAGCTCTGGAGAGGGGAGTTGCAACAGCTGTTGTCAGTGCTGGGAGTGCTTAATTTCTGGTGGAGATTTCAGAAGTTTTGTGCATTTGTCAGCTTTCATATAATTCCCAAAGATCCTCCTTTATCCTCAGTAAGTCTCAGTCACAGCAGACCCGGCGCGCTGCTCGCTGCTTTGCCAGCTTCAAGAATTCACGAGAATTCAGATATATGGAAAATAGTTTCTCTGTTGTAGTACTTAAGGTGTCAAAGCAATTAAGCAAATTCTGTTCTCATGTTTTTCAAATAAGAGCTGCTTCCTCTGCGCCGTTTCCCACGTAATAATGCTTGGGGTACAGTTTTATCCTAGAAAACAAATTGCATTGGAAACAAAGTCTGTTACTTAATGAAAGTAACACTAGGTCAAAAATTGATTTTGGACAGATGTTATACAAGGCTTGAATAGTCTGCAAAAGTGGGCTTTTGTCTGCTGTTTTCAATAGCTTATACCATCCCTGCTCGGTTAGAAAAGTCCTCTTTTTATACATCTAATAGGATCTGGCAGCTGCTCGGGAAAAGACAAGTGTGCTTCACGAGAACAATAGTGACTGTCATACTGCCTTCATTTAACTGTTTAATGATTGATGCCTTTCCTTTTCTATGCCATTTCAGAAAGTGAATATTGATAAGGTTTTTTCTTATTATTTTCTAAGAGCATTAAGAAAGTAGTGCATTTTGTAAGGCTTTTGAGCACCTCTCTGTTGTGGTTTTTATGTGACTAATATAAATAGATGGGATTTTGGCCTTTGTCAATAGAAATATTTCATCCCTTCCCGTTTTCTGTTTGTAGCATTTCTTGTGCCTTTTTTGAGGGATGAGGGGGAAGAAAAAAAATGAGCTAACAACAAAACAGAAACTTTCACTCCTCTGCCCTCATGCCTGCAGTTGCCAACTGCCTGGGTAATCTCATTCCAATGAGTTTATGGGTGCAAGAGGCTGTGTTGCCACAATAGCGCGCTCCCGGTGTCTGTGCGTTGTGTACAGTTCAAACATGCCAGTTTTCATAAGTGGTTACAGCTCTGTTGGAAGGACTTGAAGAACATCTGTCGTGAAACGAAGAGGAGGTTTTTTTGTGTGAGAGCCACAATAGCACGGATAAAGAAGCTGCTGTTCTTTAGGAGTGTTGGGAGTTTCAGCAGTTTTCGGAGCCTTGGAGGTAGGCAGCACCTCTTAGATGTTAACACCAGAGGCTTTCCAAAATGCACGAGAGCACACAATAGAGATGGGTGATAAAGCCCAGCACATTATGAGATTTTTCATGAGCAAACAGGTGAGGTGTGCAGGCAGGAGCTGACCCTCACCTGCTCCCCATGCAGATGATCTTCTGTTCCTGCGTGTGCCTCCCAGCAGCTGTAGAAAATGTTTTTTTCTTTTTGAGCAGTTCACTTTTTAGCTTCAAATCTAGAAAAATGTGGGATCAAGTGAGTAGGTGTTCCCTGTGATCTAGGCGGCTACTGTTCCAGTTCTTGGTTTCATCATTAAGCCAGCAGAGCTGCACTTGGTGCATGCAGCAGAGAGCACTATAAATTATTTATCAGTTGCCAAGAGACAGGAACCAGGAGACCAGAGGGGTGGAAGGGAGGGGATTATATATCGTTATTTGCAAGCATCGGTAAACATGAATTTCATTGCATTCAGTCACCACTGGAGCAGAATGGCTAGAAATGTGGGTTTGGCAGAACGTGGAGCCATTTACCTGAGCACCACGGCTGGGCTGTTCTGTGACTTCTGAGCACAGCATCAGGTGCTCAGTCAAGCAGTGGGGCTTGGCTGCCAGTTTTCCCTTTGTGTTGTCATTAGATCAGCAGAAACAAGAGCCTGCAGGCTCCGCTCTCGTGTTCCCTTGAACTCACAGTGTTCTTTGTCCTCTGTGGGATCTGAGGATGGATGAGGAGTTGATCGGGGTCTGGCAGTCTTTGGAAGTGTGGCCAACTTGCTGATGCTCATTTGCTGTCCACATTGTGGAGCGAATCCTGGTCTTCCCCAAACAGAGCTCTCTATTTTCTCTGCTTTGCTGCACACGAGGTGTTGCAGGGTTCCCCCTCCTGTACCTTCTGTCTCTGCAAAGTGTTTGCATCCAGGGATTGCCATACAGTTTCCAAGTGACGATTGTTTATGGGACGTGGGGTATTATGTGTGCAGGCTGGATGTGGCAGGGAAGAAATGAATGAACAGCCCATGATCTATGAGGCAGTTAGATAAGAGAAAACAAGCCACAAAATGCAGGTTTTTTGGTAAAACGTGAATGGAAACTATGATGAAAGTTACCCAAACATTAGTAAGGATTTATTTATAAACCGAAGGCTTCCCCTCAGCCCCAGGGACCCAAATGCAGCTGTAAATATTGCCCAGGGTATGCGGAACAGAAAGAGAAACCATGAGGAGCCTCTCTCCTTCCTCCTGCCGTCCTGGCAGGGGCGGCACACAGCAGACAGCACGGAGTCGGTAGTAAATCCTGTTTTGAAAGTAGTCTCTGGGCTGTCGTAACTGGAGATCTTAACAGTAATGTGAGGTGAGGGATGTGGCTGTGTCAGGGTGACTTGGAGATCTGCCTTCTGGGGTTAGGGAAGCAGCCCTGGGCCTGGGGGCTCAGTCTGTGGCTTCTAGGTTGCACTTGGCTTGGAGGCAGGTTGGAATGCCACAGCATTTGCCTGTGGTTACCAACTGGCATGGAGCTGTGTTTATGTGACCAGAGGATGGGAAAACTCTTCAGATGGACTTATATCTTACTGCTGAAATGTCCCTATAAAGAAATCTTGAGAAATATCTGAAGCATCTTTGGAAGCTGCTAGCAGTACCTGCATAAGCCACTTGGCCAGGAGCATTGGTGATGTGGCAGAGCCGCCTTGTGCCCCCATTGTGGTCCTCTTCTCTGGGACCTCCTCCATAGCGGAAATTTAGGTTGGATATTAGGAAAAAATTCTAAGTGGAGCGCTCAGGCACTGGCACAGGCTGCCCAGGGAAGTGGTGGAGTTGCCATCCCTGAGGTTTTCAAGGTGCATGTAGATGTGACTCTGAGGGATGTGGTTCAGTGGAGGTGGGTCGACCGTTGGACTCCGTAATCTTAGAGGTCTTTTCTAGCCATAATGATTCTGTGACCCCAGTGCCCCAGGCTGGCTTGAGCCCTGCAGGGAGGGGGATTCCCTGGTTCTCCACTTCCCAGCTGTGCTCTCAGCTCTGTATGCAGGCGGTGCATGGCAGCTGCATTCCTGTGGCTGTGCCTCAGCAAATGAGCTATCTGTGTGGGAGATCTACCAGTGGCTGAGTAAGTGACTGAGCTCTTGGAAACTTACAGCTGTCTCTTGCAGCAGTATTCAGCTCTTTCCATATCTGCACATGAGATGTTGCTCCAGAGACTTCACCTCCCATCCTTCTGCAGTTGCTTATTTTGCTGGCCTGTGGTCCCAGGCAACACTAGAAATAGTTAAAGCTCTGTGCTTTTGACATTTCATGCATTGGTCCTGCTGCAGTGGGAAGTGAAGGAGGTCCCTCTCTGCGTCAGCCCACCCTCCCTTGCAGCTGCTTATCCTTAAAACTTCTCTACTGAGTTAAAATTAAAAAGAAACAAACTTTCATCTTTCAGTGGCCAGAGAGGCACAGGCTGCCCTTGCTCTGTTCAGGCTGACAGCTGGCACCCCCGGCTCTGACTTCCATTGCACCAGGTCCCAAAGCTGGCTTGCTGTGGGACCCCCGACTGCTCTGCTGCTCCTGTGGGTCAGGCTCATCAGCACCTGTTGTGTGTCATGTGCCAATGACATGAAAGCTTTGGGGGGGACGATTTCCTAAGAAACACTCAAATTTGTTTTCCAAATGGCTTCAGCTGCTAGTTCTCAGGCATGTTTGCTGCTATTTAGACCAAAAGATTCCCAGTCAGGAGAACTCCCTTTTTTTTTTCTTTTTTTGCTGTTTTTAAGACTAGAATTGTAGTTATAAATGGATCTGATGGCTTTGCAAACTAGGACATCTACTTCAGAATGTTGGTACTGGGGCCAAGGCCTTGGTGCTGCTGTTTTGGATGCAGTATTCTCATGTTCTGCATCTTTATAGAAGACACAAAAAGAGAGAACAGCCTGATATACTGACTGCATGTGTGGCTGTACAGCTGAGTGCTGAGCTCAGGGCAGCACTGGACCTTTCCTAGGGACTGAGCTGTTGACTCAGGCTTCACTGCACCATTCTGATGTGTGTGAGGGAGAGCAGGGCCGAGCTGGCCCTGCCTTAGTCTCATTAACACGTGGCTCAAGCTGTGCCCTCTCCTCTGCCTGGCTCCGTCGGTGGATTTACTGTTCTCCCTCCCAAAGCAGCAGCAGCAATGACTGAAGTCCTTTCCCCTGGCTGCAAGGAGCTAAGGAGCAGCAGATGTAAGCCTGTCCTCTTCTGATCCATTGCCACTTTAATCCCAGGGCAGCAGATTTGTGCACGTGCCTGAATTTTCAGAGCAGCCCAGCCTGTTCCTGATCTCGTCTTTCTTGAGCGCAGCTGCTGGCCGCTGGTCCCTAACTCTGGTATTAAACACATGCCCACTAATTCGAATGATAAATGCAGCTCTGAGCAGCCTGCTTCTGAGCTGGGGACACCGTGAGGGAACAGTTGTGCTGATAATTCGGTAGCAAGGACACTGGGTCACTTCTAAATATGACTTCTATAAAGAACTTCTTCCCCACAGATGGAGCAGGCTACATACCAGAGCTAAATATACTTTATGATCGCAAAAGATGAAAAGTCTTGGACCTCGGAGTTAAAATTCACTCTCCTGTCTCTTAGTTTCGTGATCCTGTAAGCAGGATCACACTGACCCTGATGCCCTGTGTGTCAGCTCCCCTGTGCCCTCGCTGGGGGCTTGGGGCGGTCACTGAATGCACAGCTGGCAAGAGAGACCCCAGAAACACTTGAAATCAAATTTCTTTCTTGTCTGAGCAACCACTTGTTTTATCCATTATCTATTTCTGATAAAAGAAAACCTATTACCTCATTGCTTCTTCTGTAGGTAAAGCACTCTGCTTCAAAATTCTTTGTATATCCAGGAAAGAACTTTGATAAATGTATGAAGATTTAATTAAAAATCAGTGGAAAGAATCATATAAAAAGAAGTCTGCTAGAAATAGAGTCAGTTAAATGTAGGCAGCTTAATATATATATATATTATAATCAAGCTTGTCAGGTGGTGGGAAAAGACTTTAAAGATGTTTCTGCAGCTTTTGCTCCTTCCCAAATTGCAGAAGAATGTGGGAAAGCTCACTTAAAAGTGGAATTTCTGGGGCTTCCTGGGCGTTAATCTCTCAAAGCCATTAGTTTTCCTCCTGTGTGGACACGATGGATGTAGCATCCTACTGGCTTTTTCTCCTTGATGCTGAAGGCACCTGCAGATGACCGAGGTGAAGAGTTTGCTGCTGCTGTCAGCCCGTGTCTGTTCTGGCTGTGCTGATAACTCTGGATTGCTGACTAGCTGTGGATAAACTTCCATGTGGCTTTTTCCTTGGTGCCAGATGGCTCTTGTTTCAGGCAGATGTTATCTCCACCTCTGCTACCTGAGTGGTTTCCAGCCTGCTTCTCCAAATCTATTTTTGGTTTGGCCCAATATACTTTTGTTTGGGATTATTATGGATTTTTCTTTTTCCCATGGGTGTGTGGGAAGCGAGATGCAGAGGACGAAGCTGTGAGTTGCTGAGCCTGGTTAACTGGTGGTGGAGCTCAGGATGTTACTCTCAGGTTAAGAAAAAGGATTAGATTGTTGTGAGGAGGTGCATTCTCATTTTTGATAGGCATGCTCTTTATTTTTTTGTTTTTCTTCTTTTCCACACCTCTGCACTGGCTGTGCTTCCTGATGAAGGCGTGGATGGCATTTATTTTTATTTCTTTCTGTGGGATCCACCTTCATTAGTTTGCATCACAAAGTTAGGATTAGCTAAGGCTGTAAAATGATGGCATGTTGGGTTCTCAGCTGCTGCAGTGCTCCCTGTTCCCTACGTTTGTTTTTTTTCTCTTGACAAAATGAAGTTAGTTTGAAATCATAAATACTCATAATAATCAGAAATAGTTGGCATTTGCATTTCATAAGCAATGGTTCTGGGGTGCTCAGCAATCAGTAGGGGTTATCACTGAATCCTGCAGTACACTCACTTTCTCCCCTGTACTGATTCCTGCCTGGGACAGTCTGTTACAGCAGGCTGCTGCTCAGCCATTGCCACCAGCACATTGAGGTCCTGTCACCCAGTCGTGTACCTGTTTCCATAGGACTAGAGGAGGAAGAGCAGAAGACAGACAGGCAAATCAGTTACAAGATGAGCAGAATTTTTCTTTTTTTTTTTTTCTTCTTTGTTTTTTTCCTTTTTTGGTGCTGATTTGTGTTTGTGTCACAGTACAGCAGGCGAGGGTACATACACAGCCTCAGTGCTGCAGGGCTCACCCTCGTCTGTTTGGAATCTGGCTGATGAAGCAGAAGCCATTGACATTTCAATGCACACTTTAATAGGGACATTTCAGGAATCAGAAGTCTGTCATGTCAGTGGTTGAAGCCCAGCCCAAGTCAGTAAATGCTGATGAACTGCACAGTGGTCGGTGCAGAATCAGTGTCCCAGTCTGCATCAAACCGTTCTGCATCATGTTTGGATTTGAGAACAGGACTTGGATTTGATGCATTTCTGCAGCCTGGCGCTGTGGCTGAAGGCTTTGCCCAGACACCAGTGTTCCACCCAGGTTAAAGTGCCCAGGCAGCCCCTCGAGGTGCTGTGTGCTGTCTTTGTCCTTCAGGAATGCTGTTCCTGGGGCATCGGCCATGGCAGGATGTCTGTACCTCACTTACACCACTGTGGTGTTGCAGCACTTCAGCCAGTTTTCTCAGAGCAACTTTGGTCTGATGGGCTTAGACTCACAAATCCCCTTTGAAATCTCTCTTCAAACCTATCACCCAGGCTATGGTTGGACGTGTTACTTCTGCACAGGCAGTTTTTACGTTGCTGTGGTACCTACCAGCTGGAGCCCAGCATCCCATGATATCACTGCTGGTGCTGGGTACCCAGAGGGCTCAAACACATCCGTCTGTCCTGGCATCACATGTTGGGGCAGTGTGGGTGTCTCTGTAGCAGCTGATGGGTCAACTCTGGTGGAAATGGAGGCCAAATTCCTGGGGAAATGCTGCTGTTTGTGCCTGTGGCAGACACAAAGAGCTCTGTTTCTTTTATTCTTCAAGGAATAAATGGCTGGCCATGGCAGTGGCATTTGTGTGCTGATCTGTGAGGCTGCCAAGAGCCCTGTGCCCCTTCTTGTTTCCTAAGTGTTTGTGTGATGCCGTGTTCCCCCTGACAGAGAACTGCACTTGTCTCCCACCTTGGCAAAGGCAGCTCTTGTGTGGTTGGTGGAGCTCGAGGGGGCCAGGAGCTCCAGCTTTCCCAGACCAGCACACTTTGCAGGGGTCTGTGTGATTCTTGCTGTGCCCTCACCCCCCCATTACCACCAATGCCTTCAGCATTCGCTGGTGGGGGCAGTGAGGGGTGGTGGCAATTGCTGCTCACCTAGGTGATGTTTCCTACTTCTGGCTTGCAGGGCCTGTTGTGGAGATGAGGAAAGCTGCAGGGAGGAAGGGAAGGCATCTGAACACATCTCATTCTGGAGATGTTCAGGTTACAGTTTGCTGATTTTTAGAAAAATACAGCACTCCAAAGGAATTTTTTTTTTTTTGGAAAGACTTTCAAACATAATGAAGGAGGGAAAGGTGTTTCAAGACCTTCTATAGATGCTAAATGCATCTATACTTCGTCAAGTTAACTTCATCGTGCTGTACTGGTTTTGTTGTCTTTGTAGCTGCCAGTAATCCAAGTGACTTTATCTTGAGTTGGGTTGACTGACAAATGACTCCATCTGTTTGCTAATTCAGAAGCCCAAACTCCATAATATCTGTAGTGAATTTCCTATAACTAAATGCTGGTAACCTACGGAGCAGAAGAGCCTTCCCTTCACACACAACATGAAACTGGAGTTTTTTCAGTGCAGTAAACTGATGTGTGATGTGTGCCTGTGTGTGCGTTGGGCTGGGATTTATTTCCGGAAGCAAAGTACAAGAATGCTTATTGTCTTGTTAGCTAATGGTGTTTTTTATTCAAAGAGGCACCAAAGAGATGGAAATTTTCCTTGCTGAGGAAGTAGTAGTCTAGGATGTTGCAGGCTGGCTGTCTCTTTGGAGCATGCTTCAAGAGGAGCTGTGTGCTTACAGACAGCCCCCAGGCATGCACTCACATGGGGTGTAGTTCTGATGGATTTCCCAGAGGCTGGCAGCCCAGCCGGGTCATTCCACAGGCGAAGGTTTGATGGCCAAGCCCAAGGAAGAGGCGCCTGCTGCTGCAATCCGATGCGAGCACGGGACATTGAGCCGGAGCTATGGAGGGAGCTTCTGATTCAGCCACGCCGGTCTTAATTTGGATCACAACTGCAACAAAAATGATTCAGTGAACGTCTGTCACCTCATTTCATTCCTGTTAGTCACTGGGTGATATCGGGTACCATGTATTTCTGGACTGAAAGGCTGTGAGCTCCCTCTGTACAGCTCTGGAGGTGGCCATTGCATTTAATCAGCCAAACGTGGAGGTGCTGCTCCCCGCCATGCATCCTGCCCCCAGCCTGGTGCTGCCACCTCCTTTCATCTGAGGATGCTGATTTCGGAGGCAGAGTTGCTGATAGGGGGAAGGATAGCAATCAATCTCTCATAGTGCAAATTTCCTCAAGAAAAAAACAGTGTGCGAGTGGCAAAACAAGAGAAAGATCAGATAATGTGTGTGCTTGTTTGGGGAAAGCCTTTCTCCTACATGAAGAGCAGGTGATAGCATCCAATGCTGGTTGGAGAACAAATGGGAACAGCCCTATAGCTGCTGGCAGGGGCAGCCCCAGGGCACTGAAGGCACCGTGAGGCCCTGGGCAGTGCTCAGATGGGGCGAGGGAGGTGAGAGGCCCTGCAGAAGCTTCCAGGCCACGGCTGGGGCAGCACACGGGGTTCTGCTGCCCTATTTCTGACAGGGATCAAGTGGACAAGTGGGTCCCTGAGCAGCTGAGCTCCGCTTCGCAAAGCGCTTCAAGCATGCAGCAGCCTGCAGTGTGTGAAAAGCCTGTGGGAGGCTTTTAAAAGTGGTCTGTTTGAAAATGTGCTGTCACACACATCCACACAAAAGTCCCCCAAATGCTTGAATCTGCATAAGTATGGCACAGAGTTATACCTTGGTTTTTGTTTGCCAAAGCAAGTGGGGTTTGGGGGCAGGGATGAGGAGCTGCCTGGGGTATGTTTGGGGGTCACTGCTGTCACTCAGTGCAGCACGGCAGTCCGATGGAGAGCCCTTGCACATGGCAGGCACCTCGTGGGGCATGGGGCACTGCTTTTTGGTTGTAATGTGCTGTCAGCTACTATTTTGGCAGCCCCAAATTTTTTCATGGGCCTTTCCTTCTGTTAGTTGCTGATTAGCAGTTCCTAACAAATGAGTAGGCAGTCCTGCATTAAGCATCCCCAGGATGGCTCGGTCTGTGCACGGCTCGGTTCTTGCCAGCAGCAGCTCGAGGTACAGATTGGTGATCCTGGAGTGCTGCTCTGACCCAACAGCCACCAAAGAGCATTACTGGGGGGGGAAGAAAACCAGAAAGAATATCTGGTGTTTTACAACAAACGCGTTGCAGCATCGCCCTAAACATCCCATGTTATGGAAACACCAGCCTAAATGTGTGCTAACTGATAACAGCCGGGAAGGCCCGTGGCTGTTCCCAGCACAGCCATGATGGGGCACGGGGAGGGAGCATGGAGCTGGAGGCCGTGGCAACGGGCAGGGACACGCAGGATGGAGCCCTCACTGACCCTCTCCTTTTGCTCCCACAGACTCACGCCTCACTACGTTTACCCCCAAGCTATCATTCAGCCCAGCGTGGTGATCCCCACCCCCGTGCAGTCCATCGCATCTCCCTACATCGACTACACCGCCGCCAGCCAAGCCTACTCCCAGTACACCACAGCTGCCTACGACCAGTACCCCTACGCTGCCTCTCCTGCCGCGGGCTTTGTGGGTTACGGCTACACGGGGGCAGTGCAGCCCCCCATCACCGCCAGCACCCCGGCAGCGCCCGCCACCGCCTTTGTGCAGTACCAGCCCCAGCAGCTGCAGCCCGACCGCATGCAGTGAGCCCGCGTTGCTGGGACGAGTCTTTTGCAATGGAAGGATACAATTAGGACAACAAAAGCAACGGCAAAAGAAAAACAAAACAAAACCAAGATGCAAAAAACAAACAAACAAAAAAAAAAACCCACAACAACAAAAAAAAAACAAAACAAAAAACAAGGAAAAAAAAAAAGTCACCCTGACCCTGTCTCCCATTTATTTAGGTGCATATCAATACCTAAGCTATTTATAGTGTTACGGGCAAACCCAAACCCTCGCAGTCTGACTGTGCTCACGAAGAAGGACTTCGGGTAAGTTGTTTTTCAGTCTGGACAGATCACGTCTTGAAGATGTTCTTAAAGTGACTGAAATGATTCACAGGAAAACTACAGCTCCTTGCACATGTCACAGTCTGCTTCCATCACCTGTGGGCTTCTTTCTGCCCCCCCCCCCCCCCCCCCCCCCCCCCCCCCCCCCCCCCCCCAGCCCTCCTCATCGAACCTGCAATTTTCTTATTTACTGTTGAGGTACAGAGGTACTCGGAGAACGTGGAAAAAAGCAATCTTATTTTTTGGTTGTACAAAAACTTTGTAATACTCAGAGATGCCTTACAGAAAAAAAAAAAAAAAAGAAAAAGAAAAACTATTTTTTAATATTTATTGCGATTTTATTCGCATGAGCTGTGAATTGCAGACAGAAGAATAGTAGTAAGTATCTGCCTTGTTTAATTCTCATTTTACTAAATTATTGTACGTAGTTAAAAGTTCCTAAGTAATTGCTGAATCACTTCAACTTGCAAAAGGGAATATCAGCTCGAAGGAGGGCCGCATATTCCTTTAGTCAACGCACTGTACTATTTTCTTATTGTAATTGTTACTCTGTTAAGATTATCTCAAATTTAGGTATATTTTTAAAATGCAAAAAAAGAAAAAAAAACCAACCAAGAATACCGAACATTTTGTCTACTTTAGTAGATCTTTTGTTACAATGCTGCAAACTATGGAGACATTTACAGTATTTATGTCAGAGATTTGGGGCTGTTGGCCAGCTAAGCTTAGGAGAATATCATGAGTGGAGCAAAAGGAAGAAAGGTGTTATGTCACTGAACAAATGAGTAAACGTGACCTTTTTATGCTTATAACGCAACAGCCAAATAAAGGAAGAGAACAGGCAATGTAAGTTAAGTGCATTTCTACAAAGAACAGCAATAAACTATTTTAACTTTTAAAATGATTGGATACTGTTACAGAGTCATATTTGCTTGGCTGGAGTGCATTAGGGTGTATCAAACCAAGCTGTTGCAGCTTGCCTTTGTGATGCTCCAGGGTGAGACCTCAGCCCAGAGCTGCATTGTGTGGTCACTGCCTGGGTACAGCATGCACTGGTTGTTGCTCTGTGTCTCCCACGTCACCTGTGGCTCTCGGCAGCTGGGGCTTTCTGAGCTCCAGGAGCATCGTGCTGGGGCTGTGCTCAGCCTGAGTGCTTGAGCACAGCCACCCTGTGTGGAGCAGGGCAGGTGGATGCTGAGCCTGTGCAGCAGTGCTTACACCTCGTGCAGAACTCAGTGCAAAGCCAGGCAGCTGCCATCCCATCTCAGCCCAGAGCTCTCAGGCAGCAGGCAGTGTTCTGCCCCAGCCCTGCCTCAGCCTATGGGCTGCAGAGGTGCCTGCGTCCCCTGAACCTCCTGTGCATTGCTCATATGGCCACGTGTGACTTGACCTCACTGACCTGCTTTAGAAATTTGGTTTTCAGATTTTGACAATTAGAAATTTCCAATATTTGTTTTTAAAAGTAAATAAAATGATTCTGTTTGAACATGCCAGCAATCTATTTAATCTCTGCAAAGGCGATGGCAGGACTGGTGCCAAGAAGTGTTGCATCTTTGGCAGCAGGTTGTGTTACTGCTCAGAGGTGATGATGCCTAAAGCTGTGATGGGGGAAGAGGGTGCCGTGGGACAGAAGCAGAGGCAGGACAGTTCTGTGTCTGATCAACTGCCCTGTTGAAGTTAAAGGCACAGAGCGGGCATGTCTAACGTCATCAGTAGGCTTCAGAGTAAACAGCCCATCTAGATGAATGGAAACAGCTCATTCCTCCCTTCTTCATACTGCATGAGAATGCAGAGCCTGGTGGTGCTCTGTTAGCTCTGCCTGGGGTTTTACTTACAACCATGCGGGTGACATTTATTTCCTTTTTAAGTAATTACTTTCTGTATACAGCTGTGGGGCTGCCAAACGAGTAAGAGCTGAGCACCGCGTCCAGCCCAGCGCCGGCGGGATTGGAGCCTGGCTGCTGGCTTTGGAGTCCTCTTGGGGTGGGGATTATTCAGCAGTTCCTTCTCCCTGTTATGAGTGTTTAGTGGGGAGCACATTTTGGGGCTGGGAGCTGCTGGAGGTGCCTGGCCCTGCAGCAACCCTGTCCCCAAGCCCCAGTATGGTCCTGCAGCAGGGCTTAGCACTGGCTGCTGCCTGCACCTGGGACCTGCCTCTCCCTCAGTAAGAAGACCAAGGCCTCTGAAGAGTCATCTGTCAGGAAAAGTGCTTAAATTGCCTTGCAATCGTTTAAAGGCCTAATTATTATTATTATTTTTGTGTGTGCGCATTGCTAGATGGAGCCTCATCTTCCCCCTGTGCCATGTGGCTTCTGTTGTCCTGGGGCCAGAGCTTGTGCTGGGCTGCCACACCATGCTGGTGCAGGCCACCTCCCTGCAGCTGTGCCTGTGTGCTCACACATTTGCAAGATAAATGCAAATGCTTTTCCTAGGAAAGCATCACACTGGGGCTATCCAGGTGAGCATTGAGCTGCAGCACATCCACCTGCTGTCACACGTCAGCATCGCCTTAAATGCCAGCATATCCAGCATATCCCTCAACAGCACGCCAGGGCTATCAGCCTGACCCAAAGGACAGTGACATCCTGGGGTGCTCAGGCAGTGCAGTGTTGCCCACATGCAGCCCTGCTGCTGCAGCAAAGCCAGAATTTCATGTCTGCGAGGGAAAGGCCTGAAGTGGGGTTTGGTTGCATGGCAGCAGGGATGCTGGTGGCACTTGCCCTTTAAAATGAAAAGTTCACAGCAAAACGGTTTTACCCCCTCACACACAGGGAATGCTAACAGCATCCTTTTCTTTTTTTCCCCACTTCTGGCCGAAACTTGTTTTTCCCTCCTTTGTGCCTCTCTGAATCCTGCCAGCGCAGAGATTCCCTTGTTCAGAGAGAAAAAAAGGAAAGAAAAAAAAAAAAGAGAGAGAGAAAGAAAAAGTTAAGCCTGGGATTAGAAACCCCATCACTAAAATAGTCTGAATAACAAAGTCAACTGCCTGCATGGGGGACTGCCGCATGCCTGTCCCATATCGCCGGCCGGGCACGGTCATGTGCTGCTCGAGATAGTTCCTGGCAAAGCTTCTGCTCAGCCCGATAGCCCCGCAGCTGCTGATAGTGCTATGCCTGCAGGAACAGCCACAGCGCTGGGATGATGTGGGGGAGCAGCGAATGTCCCTCTGGGAGCAGAGGAATGGGTTCTTCTTGGGACCGGAGCCACCTCGATGCTTCCGACACTTCCCATGGGACGGGGCATCCCAGGGCCTCACTGGGGGATCTGTCCTCAGCCCACAGCCTTATCCCTGTGCTGACAGTGCAGCACAAACCTGGGAGCACAGAGGTGTGCCATGGAAAGGGATGATAGCACAGATAAGACCCCGCTGTGTGAGGGCAATGACAGGCTCAGATTTATCAGCTGTGTGCTCAAAGCCCGGCAGCACTGGGGCTGGGGGATGGTGTGGAGAGGGGGGAGGTGGAGATGTCTCACATGGAGAGGTCAGAGCTCCATGTGCTGCAGTGCTTTAGGGTGAAACTGGGCAATGAAGGCAACAGCCTGAGAGCCACAAACTGCTCAGCCACTGAACCTGGGCTGTGCCCCCAGCAGATGCTGGGCTGCAGAGGTGACACCTATCTTCTACAGATGTGCACGACTGCATTCATTTACTTGTGTAGGTATTAAAACTCATACATAACATTTGAAGAATTATGCAGAGATTTTTTTAAATGTGCATATATTGTCTGTTTGCTTGTTTACATGTTAAAATCCATGTATGTAATTCAAAGATGTAATTTTATGCAGTTATGTTTAAATTCAGTGTTGCACAGCCCTGTGTGACGGCAGAGACACAGAGGTAATGCCCACGTGTGGGCATCACTGCTGTTGGCTGCTTACAGAAGGGTGTTCTGCATCTTTCTGTAAGAGCTACTCTACTCAGCTTCCATCAGCAATGCAAGAAAGAAGCTTAAGGAGAAATAATGCAGCACAGAAAGGCGAGAGGCGAGCTGCAGCCCTGTGCTTGGAAGTGGGTGGGCAGCCCAGCATTCGTTCCCATTGACATGATGAGCCCCAGAGCCCCAGCAGCAGATTTTGAGGAGCTTTTAGACATATGAAGCCAGAGAGCACGGCCTTTTATAAACCAGCGAGGAGCGTCTTGCCTCAAAAATAGCACTGAGCATCTTATTACATGTTCAACACTCAAAAGACCTTTTAAAATCGGGCTAAGCTCGCCTGAGTGGTTCCCGTTTAATCTCTCCCTCTGGATAAACACTGGGGAGCGCACAGATACAGCGTCCATTTGTTTTCTTGAGTAACATCAGCTGCTCGTGTTTACGTTTGCTTCTTGCATGCTGGAGTGCTAAGTAAACCTGGAGCCCTGCGAAATGAAAGTGAAATGAAAGGAATACATGGTACCATTATTTTGCTGAGATCTGGTTTTAAAATTAGCAGATCTTAGGTATAAAGATGAGCCCTCAGGGGAAAAAAAAGCCTTCAAACCCCACATCCTACTTGATTTTCAACACTGTACTCATGACTCATTTTAGTAAGGTAAACCAGTTCAGTTTCCTGTTTCCGATTAAGTTTGTATGTGTATAGATTTATACATTAGTTATATATTTATATGATCTATAGAAAAATCTCGTTAGAAACATATATGCATGAATACACATACATACTTTCTATCAGCTGCGTGCATATTCATATATAGATAGATAGATAGATAGATACAGATACAGATATATACATGGACAGATGTGCAGTACAGTCAGCCTGGACAAGAGAAGGCTCTGGGGGGACCTGAGAGTGGCCTTCCAGAACCTGGAGGGGCCCACAGGAAAACTGGGAAGGGACTTTTTATAAGGGCAAGTGGTGACAGGACAAGGGAAAATGGCTTTAAATTGGAAGAGGGGCGATTTAGTTTAGATATTCGGAAGAAATTCTTTACTGCGAGGATGGTGAGACTCTGGAAGAGGTTGCCCAGTGAGGCTGTGGATGCTCCCACCCTGGAAACATTCAAGGCCAGGCTGGATGTGGCTGTGAGCAACCTGGTCTAGAGGGAGGTGTCCCTGCCTATAGCAGAGAGTTGGAATGAGATGATCTTAAAGGTCCCCTCCAACCCAAACCATTCTGTGATTCCGTGATAGTGTACATATGTACGCTACAAACCTACATCAGTGCAGGGATGGGTGCAGGAGCGAGTGCTGCCTGCTGGGGGCTTTCCCCTCTGCATGCTCCCCCCGTGCTGAGCCCACTGAAGTGCCTGCAGGGCTCACAGCGGTTTTGCAGGAGCCCTGTGGTTTGTGGCAGCATTCCCATGTGTGCACTTCGATCAGCCAACTGCGAGCACTCCTTCAGTCTCACTCAAACACAGCTATTTTGGGCACCTGCATGCTGGATGAGAGCTCCAGCCCTGCCAGCAGCTCTGCACGGGCTTGAATGGAAAAAAAATATATATACACATATAGCCCTTCAGTTGGGGGACTGCTGGCAGGAGTCAGCCTGCCCCAACCCTGGGCATTGCCATCCCATCCCACATGGGTGAAGGGGAGGTGTTGTAGACCAACCCATCTCCATCCCCCTCCTCATTCCCACCCCTGCTGTTCCCCCAGCCTCATCCTGCCCAGCCTGCCCAGCCTCCCAGCACCACCAGGATGAAGTACAGAAGAAATAATAAATTGAATCCAAATGTTTATACCATTGGCACTGTCTGGGGCATGTGCCTAATAAAGATGAAGAGTATTTTCTTGTAACTGCCTGCTAAATTACCAGAAATGGCTGCTGAGCAGACTGTGCAGAGGCAGGATGGGGGGGGGGAGTTAACCTGTTGGGCCAGATGGATGGACAGACAGACAGATGCTACGTGTCCTGGCTGCTGCACTGAGATGCTTAGGAAAAAAACAAAAAACAAACAACCAAACCAACAAAGCCCAGCCTGAGCCATTGCAGCAGAATGGCTGCAGCGAGGTGATCGGGCACTTACTTATTTCTTCAGCATCAGGCCGTGAACGGGGCCCCGGGGGCTGCGGGGCTGCAGGCTGATAAGAGCAGCTCCGTAATCTCCAACCCCAGCAGCTGGGCGGGTGGCGGCGATAACACACATGCACAGTGTGTCCAGGGTGCTGTGGGGTTTGTGTAGGTGTAGAGGGGGTGGGGTGCAACGTGCCCACAGCACAGCACCCCACTGCCACCCCCATTGGGATGCCGCACGGCCAGGGCACAGCATGCAGCTGTCATCAGGGTGGATATGGGCAGCCTGTGGCTTCTGATGGGGGTATAAAGCCAAAATCGCAGTGCCTGGTTAGCACTGCCAAAACAAATGGCAAAAACCAACTGTGGAGCTCACACGTTGATTAGAGGAGTTTCTCGTCAGTGTGAGGGGCACGGGGACCTGCAGACCCCCCTGGAGATGTGCAGGAGCCGGGGATGCCCACAGGGCTCTGGGACTGTGCCCTAGCACCAGGAGCACTGAGTGCTGCCACTCTGCACCGCCTCTGCTCAGCTCCTGGGACAGCCCCCGTGTGCCAAACTGCACACACGATAAGCTCTGCTCCAAAGCACATTTTTGTCAGAGGGCAGCAAGATAATATCTTAAAATAGCTCTGCGTGACATTTGAGGAGACTGTGCCACTGCCCTTTCCATGGGCTGCCTTCCCCTCCCGCCCCCCCAGCTCTGGGCAGGAGCATCCCGTGGGAAGGCTCTGCTCCTACAAGCTGAAGCAGCCACGTGTAACTGCGGAGGCAGCGCTCTCTGCAGTGGGCATCCCGCTCTCCTCGTGGCACGGTGTGCTGCGTGGCACTGCAAGACAAAGCCCTGCCTCCACACCCCGGTGTGCCCGCAGTCCCTGTGCCAGAAGTTCCGCGCCCGCTCTGCCCGCGCTGCCTTGGCTCAGACCGAACAGAATTTGGCCAAAGCCCCGGCGAGGGAACAAAGCGGAGAGCCCCAGCAAAGCGTGGGGGAGCTGGAGGAGGGCCCTGCTCCATGCACAGCCTGTCTCCAGCACCAAAAAACAACACTTCATGAAAGCTCATCCTTCCCCTCGCTGCCATCGCCTCCCTTTCCCTCTCCCTCTGCTCCCAGCACTGCTCAGGGAGTTTGGGTGGTGTTTGCTGGGGTGCACCGGCAGCTGTGTGACACCATCGAGAAGAGTGAGGGGACAAAGCCAGCATCCTGCCTTGGGCAGGACAGCTCCAGTGCTCTGTGCTGCAGGCACACAGCCTTAACCCCCATGGTGCCAGCTGGTGGGTGATGCTGGTGCAGCACCACAGGCCCTGAGCTTGCAGCAGCACTGACAAGCAAATGCTTTGAAATAATTTATCCCTCCACAGTGGACTTTAGGCACATGCTCCAAATTTGCTTATGCTTCTGTGTTGCTTCTAGCACGTCATCTTTAAAGGCAGAGTTTCAATTTCTATCTAACCTTTCTTAATGGAAGGTTAGAAATGTCTTCAAAGAAAACAAACAATGCAATGCCCACACAAATTTTCTAACCGTTTTTAAAAGGCCCATGAGAGCAGCTGCTTTATGCAGTTCAGAACTTCTGCACTTAGGAAATGAAGCAGCTCACATAGACAGGAAAATGTGGTCCACACACTGCTGCACTGCAGACCCGGCTCCTCTCGCAGTGGCCAAACTGCAGCCAGCCAACAGCACCCAGTGTTTGAGTGATCCTGGGAGCCCAGCTGAACTCTGAAAGGAGCTACTGGACTCTGATCCAGGGCACAGACACCTTGTGTCCTCCCAGCCCCTTCTGCTGTGCTAGCATCCCCAAAATCAAGCCCCGTCTGTGAGTGCATCCCTGCAGCTCTGTGTGTCCCCCCCATGGGTGCCATGCATGGCCTGAGAGCAGCCAGCGGCCACCTGAGCAGCAGCACAGGGCTGTATGTAAATGCAGTACTGTATCTCAGCAGCCATTAAATGCACACCTGCTCCCACATCGTGCCATGGTGGGACAGCCCTGTCCTCTAAGACACGCATGGGTGGCTCCTTGACTTGTGTTCCATGCACCCAAACCAGCCATCTAACCCAGCCAACCACCACACCAGCCATAAAACCAGCCATCCCAAGTGGCTCCCTGGAATGGCTGCCCGGTGGTCTCCCTGCAGGTGGCCCAGGGATGGCCCTGTCCCCCTGCAGCCTGCCTGCCCCTAGCATGCTGGTGGTGACAAGGGTGGAGGGTGCTTTGTTTGTGCTGTCATCAAAACAAAATAAAGCCTGTCTGCCTCCAATACATTCTTTTGTCTTAATTGTTCTATTTCCCTGTGCCTGTGCGCTCCTGGCCGCACTGCCCTGCTAGGAAAGCAGAGCACTGATCATCCTCAGATGGTTCACACAGAGGTTTCTGTTTTGTTTTGTTTTAACAAGGATCCAAGATGACTGGGGGAGGGAAAGAACTTTTGTCCTCTGCTTAAAATAATTCAAGAGCTTTCCACTGTCTATGCCAGGCCAGGCCGAAGCAGATATTTGCATAACAAACGAGCTTCTCCTCGCTCTTCAGCCCCAAGTGACTCCTGAGGAGCAGCCTCCAGCTCCAGCTCCAGCTCCAGCTCCAGCTCCAGCTCCAGCTCCAGCTCCAGCTCCAGCTCCAGCTCCTCCCACCGCTGTCCCACAGCGCCATGCAGGAGCTGCGGGTCTGTCCGAGGCAGCCAAGGGCTTTCATGGGGCAAACTGGAGAAGGTGGGTGGAAACAAATGCTACCAGAGCCCGAGCGCCTCGCCAGCGGTATCCAAACATTGCATTCTAAGAAAGGTGGGAGAGAAGGCAGTTATTCATTTTGAAATGAGTTTCCATCGAGATTAGATTCTTTTCTTAATTACATGTCATCATGGCTACATAATTAAAAACAACAATCCAGAACCGGGCAGGCACTACCATCCCTCCACAGACCTCTAGACCTCTTGAGCATCTTTGCAGCCCACAGGTAGCATTTGCTATAGGGCAGAACGAGGATCTTTCTGGCCATTTTCAACAACATTTTGAGGCTAAATGTCCCTGTCCTGGGACGGTGCTGCCCTGGGCCTCAGGTTTGATCTGATTCCTCCCACCTGCAGCTCGCTGCCTTGTCTGCTTCCTCCTCCTGCCCAGTGCCAGCTGCTCACAAGCCCTGCCGCATCACCGTGCTGCAATGGCACAGGTATGGGCAGGACGTTAAACCGGTCACCAGTTTACAAAGAAAAAAAAAAAAAAAAAAAGGCAACAAAAGACCAACAAATAGTTGACTCCGTTCCCAGGCAAATAGAACAGTTTGGGATCGTCACCAGTGTCCCTTTGTTTACTGAATGCAGCAACAGAATAGACAAGGAAAGAAAAACCCCTCCTGATAGCGACAGCTCAGCATGGGTGAAGCAGGCAGGGACATGCCCAAGGAAAGGAGGGTCAGGCGGTGCCTATCTGCTGCTGACGGGAAATAAATGTGCCCAAAAGCACTTAAAAGAAAATAAAAAGGACCAGACCTGATTGCAGCAGTTACAAGTGATATATTCTTGGCACGGAAACAAAAAGCAAATTCATAGCAGGTTTGGAGCTGATCTTACTGGCTTACATGGGATTTTATACTTAGGTAATTCCATTGTTGGCTGGTGATACCTGATTTATGCCTGAATAAGGTCCTGATCCTGCAAACATTTACTTATGTATTTGAGTTTTACCTTTGCTCCAGACGCCCTATTAATTTCACTGCAGTGAGGACAGTGCTTGTTTGCAAAGCTGGCGCCTCTGCAAGAAGAAAATCTATGCCATAACGCCTGCGATGAGGAGGAAATTCTGCAGTGAGAAGTGAACCCTCCCAGACCGGGGACTTCCTGTGGCCTCGGGCAGAGACAGCCTGGCACACACAGCCCCTCCAGCCCAGGAGCTTCAGGAGGCAGCAGGGACAGCCTTCAGCTGAAGCCTGCAGCTGCTCTCAGCTCTGGCAGCCCCTGCAACAAGTGGAGAATCAGGCAGCAGTGTGGCATTAAGTTCAGTGTTACACCACCGTTTCCCCTGGGCAGACCATCAAGACAAGTTTCTAAACAGAGCCAAAACTGTATTTATTTGTTGTTTCTGTTCAAGAAAGTGACATTTATCATTAAAACCACTGGGTTTAGTCTACACCCTCCTTGTCAGGAGAGGGGGCATGCTAAAATTCATCCACCAAACACCATCCTTTAACAACACAGCGGCTGAATCAGGGAGACAGCAAGAATAAAAACCTGACAGAGGGGAGGAAGAAAAGCTGTGAAGCTGTGGACACATGGACAGAATGCAGCAGCTTCGGCCGCCAGCCCAGCAAGATGCTCCCAGCAGAGCCGTTGCTCACATGCCCATCACATGGGAACACTGCTGCTAAAACCAGCCAAAAGAGAAAAAAAAAAGGGGGGGGGGGGGGTGGTGGCTGTGTATCTTGGAGCAGCTGCTTTCCTCACTGCCGCCGCCAAGCCTTGCTGAGAGCAGGGCTCTCCTCAGGGCCGGGCAGAATTCATTTGCTCACAATGGAGCCGTGGGGCTCTGCGGGCAGCCAGGGCTGTTGGGGGCCTGCAGCCGGGCCCAGGGGCACTGGAGGCTGTGGGAGGGCTCAGAGCAAAACCCCTCCGGTGCAGATCTGTGCTGCTCCCTGTAGGAGATGCTTGGCCAAGATGCAGCAGTTCCCAGCCCACACTCAGTGCTAGCTGCCCAGCAAAGCTTGGAAGCTGCTCGTATGATGTAGGGCACTTCGGCTCCGTGTGAATCCTTCCTCCCTGGCACATCTGTAGAAGAACAGAAGCAGCGAGACGTGTGCTGCTGTACTTTCATTTCAGCATCTCTACAAGCTAATGGCTTGCTGCCCTACATCATCCAGAGCCGGAGCACAGCATGATGTGGGTCCAGCGTTGTGCAGCTCAGGTGGATGCAGCCTGCAGCAAATCTGGGCAGTGCTGGGGCAGAGGGCACAGGCACAGCTCTGCTGCAGCACCCCTGTGTGCCCTGCGCGGCTGCAGGCTGCTCCCACGAGCTCTGGTACACTTCCAGAGCAACTCCTGTGAATTTGGCTCAGCTTCTAATGCAGCAGCCTGGAGAAGTGAATATTGCCTCTCTACACCAATTTAATTATATATAAAATTAGAAGGAGGAAGTCTTAGTTAAAATTTCATACTTCTGGAAGACAGCCGGTTCGTTAGCATCACTTTAATGAGGCACTAACCTCACTGTAATGCTTTTATTAATGCTTGTCGCTTATTGAGTGCCAACAGCTTGGCTCCTCTCCGACAGGCCGGCTGGCCCGCAGAGTGAATGGTTTAGGGGTTCTTTGATGCAAAATGCGAGCGCGTTTCCACCACAGCCACAGGACAGACGACAGTTGGTGAGATGAGACACAGCAAACCCCACCAGATGGTGCCCAGAGCGGGCGATGCAGCGAGAGAGTGAGACTGGGACAGACGGAACGGGCCCAGGAGGAACAAACGAAGGAAGCAGAGGTGATGCCGTCCCACCGCCACCGCTCCCGTTGGCTGCAGTGGGGTCAGGATGGGGCCAGGCCAGTGAGCAACGACGGCACATCAAAAACACATCTCACAATGGGCTTTCTTGGGCCCAAGCAGCCTCCAACCACCCAGGCTCCTGCACTCAGCCCTGCCCAGGAGCAGAGCCCACTGCTCGCAGGCAGAGCCCAGGTGCTCCGGGCACACCTTTCCGACATGGGCGCAGACAGAAGGACAAGGATTACCCCAACAGCTGCCAGGACAACAACCCCACACCTCCTGGGAGCTGAGGTGGCATATGCCATATGTTTCTCCTCCTGTTCCTTCAAACTCTCTGAATAGAGGGATTAGAAATTATCCACTGCAGCCTAAATCAGCGGAGCCAAGTGTGGGCTGATATTCCAGCACAGAGCTTACCATGGCAGCAGAAAGCAGGTGGGTGCTGCATGCGCACCAAAAAGTGGGGCATGGGTTGGCTCTGGTTTCCCACCACCTTCCAGGAATGGCTGCAGATGTAACAGGAGAGCCCTCAGCAAAGGATTCAGCTCCGTTGCTGTCACACTCTTGATTTTTCCTGCAGCTGAAATAGAGCACTCCAAGTCAGCAACAAAAAGAGGGAAAAAAGATTATGCAGAGCAAGGGGGAGGAAGGCAGTCTGCCTGGCACAGAGCGGTGGGATGGGGCCAGCTGGATGAGAAATAGGGCAGAGGCTGGAAAAGCAGGGAGAAACTCCCCCCATCCCTATTGCATTCTACCAAATCTGCAGAGCAACAGCACCAAACCACGCAGTCATTGAACTGGAAAATTCTCAACATTGTTTTCTCCACCTAATCTGACAAGATTCAAAGCCAAACATGGACATTTCATGGGGCGCTGATGTGCTTTTTTCCCTGTGAAAGTTTCTCTGTGTTTCTGTGGGAACCAACTTGGTTCTTGTGAAGAAAATAATCATAGAAGAGAAAAGAAAGAGGATATTTTCAAGCGAGACTAGTGAAATGCAGCAGTTCTTAAAGTGACTGCTACAGGTAACTGGGAAGGTGGTAAAACAAAGTATGTTTTGCCAAGTATATTTTTTGCCAAAACATGGGAGTTTTTTGGTGAAATTAAGAGCCTGCAGGGCTGCTTGGGCCCAGGTGAAGCTGTTGTGCAGGCTGTGCTGCCAGCATGCAGACACAGCTCGCTCACTACAGTGGCTTTAGCAGCAAAAAGCTCCAAACTTGATATTTTAAATGGGATTGTATTCCGGGCATAGAGTGGAAGCACGTCGTCCTGGTCAGAAACAGGAAGACTCATGAAGTGCTCGGTGCAGCTGTAAACAAGATGCACGTTGTTAGGGTTCATCGCCCTGGCAGGGATAACTGCTTCCAAGTTTAATCAAGGTAGAAGGGGGAGTTTGGGAAGCATCCCATCCGTGGCACACGTCCCTGCTTTGTCACATCGCACCAAGCAGTCGATAAAAGGTCCTTTGAAGAGGAGCCAAGTTCCTCCTTGCTCTACTACAGCACTATTGTGGTGGGTTCGCTGAGCCGGGTTCCCAGTTGTGCAAAGGATTTGTGAGAGGCGGAGAAAGAGTGAGAGTGTACAGAGCGCGTCGTGGCTCAGAGGGAACAAGAGGTAGAGCTGTAATTAATTACTGGGCTTTACTTCTGGGTTTTTTATTCTGGCAGTGGGACAAGCAGCCCTGTGTTGGTAGAATGCCGGCCCTGCGTTATGAGCGGGCTTGCCTTCTGCATGCAGTTGGTTTCATATTGTTAGATATTCAAACACCACGTCCCCAAAATCACAAGATTGGTAAGCAAATCATGAGAGTAAAAAGGCTAATAGTAACAAAGGGCTGCCTTTTGTCTCTCAGTGGAGCTGTTAGCCTGCCAACCTGATTTTAATAGGGACTCGGGTAAAGGAAAATAAAAAAGGGAAGGTGAGACTTTCCCATGGTTACACCAGGAGTTTAGTTTCCCAGAAAAGTGAATCTGTAATTCATCTGTAATGTAATGAGATCATTTCCATCTGATGAAGCCTAAGTTTATATTCAGAAAGCTAAATAGAAAAAAAAATAAATTCAGCATCTAAAAGCATATCAGCCAGCCAATGGGTATTGGGATGTATGCCCAATCAGAGCACACAAAAAACACGCTCTTTCCTTCACAGCTAGGGGACTGTGGCCCTGGTTTCCTTAGCAGCATTCACTCTGCACTGGGTAGCAGAGGTGTGACATGGAGATGCTCATGATACAGAATGCCTGCAGCCTCCTGGGGCGACTCAGGGACCATGGCCCAACTCCTTTTCCTCTGCTGGGTGTAATGCTGTGGTAGGAATGGTGCAGAAGTTTCTGTTAAAATCCTGTGGCCCTTTCTCTGTCTTGGGTTTATGAGCTCAACTACTCTATCTCAGCTGCGCTTGGGAAGGAGCTCGCCTGGCTGCTCCTTCTGTGAGGAGCTGGGAGCAAGCAGGCTGCTTTGGCATGGCATTAGCACGGGCTAATTAATGGCAGTCACACCCTCATGCTCCTGCCAGCAGCTCCACCCCAGAGCACCATGGCTCTGCCACCAGCCGTGCTGCCTTTGTCCATTTCCCGGCAGCTGTTTGCTCTCAGCTCAGCTCTGCTGCTTGGACAAGCCGGCCACAATGGCTGAGCGTTGTTGCTATTTGTTCTCAGCCCTGGCTTGGCTTTGTTGCCATGACCAGGTGAGGACGCAGGCGGTTGGTTCTCCCACTTACTTTCTACTGGAAGGGGACTTCAAATATTTGCTTTCAGAAATATTTGCAACAGCTCCTCTACAATTAACAGCATCAACCGAAATGCTCAGAAGGGGTGGGGAAGTGCTCCTGTGCCTTCACTCTCTCCTCAGTCTTGCTGTGATGACCTAGAAACTCTTGGACTTGGTTGCTTTGCTACTGGATGCATCTGATGGGCAACATATTAGAATATATGTGGGAATTGCCATTGGCATCACCATTTTAGACACTCCAGTTCCTATTCCATACCAGACAGCTTTGCAGCTCTCAGGGAGCAGTTTTCAGTTATACTTGTACAAAATCAGAAAGACTCATTGACTCACCTTAGGCTAATAGCAGTGCAGCAGAACAGAATCTAGGCCTTGCATTTAATGAACTACAGAACTGCCTGAGGTTAACTGCTAATTACAGAGGTACTGGTCTCTGTCATGCTGGATTACAGTGCAGGACACCATCCAACCAACCAACATGCCTTAATTCTGACAGGAGCTCCAGCCAGACACCCATCCATCGAGCATGGATGCTGTGCTTGGGATCTGTTCAGGGAAGGGTTTCTCTTTACACAGCAAAGGCTGAGCTGAGGCTTTCACTGTATGGGCTTCACAGCCTGCTGGTTAGCTGTATCTGCAATTGCTATCAGCCTACTGCAACCTACCATTGGGAACCTGCTTTAGCAGGGGGTTGGACGAGATGATCCCCAGAGGTTCCTTCCAACCTCTGCAGTTCTGTGACTCTGTGATCACTTGAGGCTTCCAAAGGTAGTCTAAATCCCAGATGAGTTTCCACTCCCTCAGAACACACAGACCTAATGGCTGTATTTCAAGAGCAGGCTAAGAATTTTGGAGACAAACTCCATTGCTGGGATGTGCTCTGAGAGCCTCGCTGTGTTGCCAGGAGATGGGCTTTCCTCCAGACACAAATCATTGCTCACTGCTGCAAAAAGGACCCACAGTCACAGCAACTCAGCATGAGCTGTGCAAAAAGGGAGAAGCAACCCAAACCAAGGGGTGTTTGGTTCTGGGCAGCGCATCCTGAGAGCTGCTGGAGAAACGCCACTGCCTGCAGGGTGCGACACTGCGCAGCATCAGGACAGCAGAGGATGGGGTCCAAGCAGGAAATCCAGAGGTGGACTCTGGTCAGTGGCTTTGGGCAGGAGCAATGTCTTCCCCAACTCTCACTTCATCATCACCTCTCCCGACTGCCCGACCAGCGTTATTGATCCGTAATGCCATCAGACCCACATACTGCACAGCATGCGAGTTGTTGCTAAGTCCCTTTTATTCTCCATCCTGCCTGGGCAGAGAGCATGCTTTTGGCTTTATGTACGCTGTAGTTTCTCTCTTTTTGTTCTTTATTTTGTTCTTTTTTTTTTTTTCCATCTCTTGTAAAGACTTTGCTATGTCAAAATCTGTCAAACAACTCCTCGTGCCATGTTTTTACAAGAATCCTACTTGCTGAACGGTGCCAAACACCCTTTAAACAATACTCAGTGAAGTATTGCGTTGCTGTGCTCTCTCTTGCATGCCATATTTAGACAAAAGTTAGGGAATTCCCTGGCCTAAATGAGGGCTTGAATGAACCCATTCTTTTCCCACCTCAACTAAAAATGTACATGATCACACCAGGCAGGCCTTCTTCTCAGCTTTATTATTCATTGATTCCGCTCTTTATCTGTCTAGAAATCAGAAAGGGGAAAAAAAAAAAGGACTCAGAAAAGGAAACGAATGAAGTGAATGTGACCGCAGACACACGCTCGGTCCTGCTGGGTGCATTCCCACCCCAGGCAGCAGAACACAACCGCCGCACCCCACGCTGACACCCAAGCCGAGCGCACACGACGTCACATCACAGCCAAATACAGCTTTATTGCTTGGGCCCGGTGCAAACAAGCAACAAGGTTACGACCTAACCCCAATAAAGATTTTCGTGGGGGTGTTGGCAGTGCACCAGGACCCCATCAGCCACCCGAATGTTCTGCACAAAGGCCCCAGCACGTGGGGCACAGCGTGTGCTGCCCTGTGAGCAGCAGCCCGGTGAGCCCTGCGCTCCCTGCACACGCTGCCCTGCACGTCCATCCATTCAGGCCGCCGAAAGCCGGAGTGCAAGGGCTCCTCCTGACAATGCAAAAGTCAATGGGGCTGCAGATCTTTCTGGAGCGGCTATTGAAGCTCCACATTCCAGAGCGCTATGCTAATCGCTTGTAGCCAGCCCTCCAACATCCCTGCAGTCAGTAATGTTTAAACTCTTTGCCATACTTTTGTCCACAGTGCGTGGGCCCCCAGATTTTATGACATGTGGCTCTCCCACTTGCTGCCAAGTCCTGTGGGATGTCAGCCCACAGGGCCCAAGCAGATGCCTTCCACGCATGAAATCTGTTGGAAAAGCATCAGATAAAAGCCCATCTTCCCCTCTGCTCTGTCCCAGCACTAAAAAGTGCTCATTATTCTGCCCCGAGAACTGACTTAGAAGGAAATCTGAACCCTGAAACTGAGCATCGACAACCACAGTGTATACAGCCTGGAACACAAGGTGAAATGCTCTGAAAAAGAAAGCATTAAAAGTTTTATATACAAACATACATATACAACATCCATTACAGCCATCTCAGTTTTATCCGTGCTGCCGATGGCGATGGTGGGGACCCAGTGATGGTGCAGACAGGATGCCAACAGCACCCGCCTCTAACTGCTGTCATTTAATTCCTTCAGTGTGGCTTGAGACAACATAACTGAGACATCAGTCAGGCCCTGAGCAGCCCGGTGCTCCTGGTGTTATTGCCACTGTGGGAAGCACTCCTGGGGCAGCAATAGAGGAAAGGAATGGGATGAACAGAGCTGTAGTGCTACAAAATGCACCCTTAGGATCAGATGCTCACAAGCACTCAGTTCCCATTTAGGAACCGAAATGAAGCTGGCAGGATTTCAGAAGTGCTCAGCATCTATCAGCTCCTACCGAGAACATGCTGAGCTCTTCTTAAAATTGTTGGAGAAAAACAATTCAAAGATAAGAGCCAGCTTGTGGTTTACAATTAACATTATTGTATGGGTCTTCGTGGCAGTTTGGCAGGAGCAAGAATAGCTGCTTTCTCACGAGATACTCTGTATGAATTCATGTCTGAAAGCATGCAGGCAGGTCTGTGAGCAGTCACCCCACTGACTGCCTCCTGTGAAAGCTGCACATCCTCAGGAGAAATTTCCACTTTGTGTTAGAATGATGCCTTCCTTGTATAGCACTCAGCAAGAGTGCTTCTGCTTCTGATCGCATCAGTAGAGACCAGAAAGAGCAGGATGAGCACGTAACACACTGAGCTGCAGTCAGGAGGAAACATCTGGAGAAACGCACTGATTTAGTCCTAACTGACATCAGTTTTTGACTTACAATTAGTAGCAATATTATGCACAGGTTGGTATCTTTAGTCCTCAGTAAGCTCTGTCCCACGAATGCACAGATGCCTTCTGGCAGTGGTGACAAAAGCAGTGTTCTCACACAGCCACAGCAGGGCTGGCACCAGCACACACCTCCAGTGGACAGAGAGGGCTCTCAGATCTCACCACACCAGGAATTCCCTACACAAGAGTGCTGTGCCTCAGTCAGAGCTGCTGAGTAACACCCAGTTCTGGGACTACACATTTTGTTCTCTTGCACCTAAGGAAAAGTTTTGTTTATTCTCAATAGTTGGTCCAAATCACATTTGTTGAAGGTGGGGACAAATGGAAGGATCTCAGAGGAGCTGTGCTCCTTCTGAGGGCAGATAAAACATCACACAGCCATGCATCTCAAACCTTACAAACTCAGGCTGTGTTGATTTACTCCCCAACATCTAGAAATGAAAGCAGAACAATAGCAAAATGCATACTGCAGTTTTCCATTCTGACCAAAACATTTACCATGTCACTCCTCAAATGTAACAATTCTGCACAATTCATTACACCCATCTATCACAGGTCGTTTTTTACAGCTGTAGCAGCAATGCTGAGTCAGGGCCTGAAGCAGTGATGAAGCACTGGGAAAGCAGGGCCAACCCAGGAGAGCACAGGTGTAAGCAATGCATCTGAGTGATGGAAGGGCCAGAGCCAGGATCCACCCCTTCCAGCCCTCATTTAATGGCTGGCAGAGGAGATGTGGGCATCCCTCTTTGGAGGTTCCTGCATACCTGAGGTCTTTTGAAGGTTAGTAGTTTTCTCTCTTTTGTTTTTGCATCCATAGTTGTTGTTGTTGGGCTTGTTCTCATTTGCTGCTGCCCAGAATTGTGCCACTCTGCTGTTGTTGCTGTACTCTGTCAGCAAATATTATAGCATTACAATAGCTAACTTTGTAGGCAATAATTTGCCTAACAGGCACCAACACTAGGGGGGAATGCTCTATTCCCAGGAGGAAGGCTGCCTCTTCTGAATAGATTACAGTAATAGGTTGCAGGAATGGGAAAACAATTGATTGCCATGCTTTGGCCAAGGAGCAATGCTGCCCTTCCTCTCCTGAATTTGCTCTTCATAGGATGGGACCATCTGAGAAGACTTAACCAAGAGAAATCTCCATGCCAGTGAGTAACATATACTCAATTCAAGCATGGTCTCCCAGCAAGCAGAGAAGACGCAGAGCTGCACAGTCACTGCCACAGCACTGAGGGTCAAACGCTCATCTGTCTCCCAGCTGAGCTGAGCAAACCCAGGTGGGAGGAAACAAAGAGAAATAACAATTAAAAGGTGTGGCTCCCAGGGTGAGGGGCTGTGGGTGTTCCTGCCCACAGGAGCTGGTGGCTCACATGTTGTGTAATGCTTGGGTTTGGACATGGCCTTTGAGTCCTCCTTAAGGTTCCTTTTATTTCCTGCTAGGTTTACACAGCCTCTCAACTTCTAGTGTATATTTAGTCCAAAGAAAAACACCATTAAAATGCCAAGGAGGCTTTCAAGACAATTGTTTTATTATATTAAACTAACTTCAAGTCTAAACTCTGCTTCTGTGAAATTGCTCAGTAGATGGGTTGCTTCAAACCTAAATTACTGACCAAGTGCAACCATCACCAAAAAACAATTGCAGCTTTCACACCAGAGCAGGAAAGACTTTAACAAGAGGATGCCTGACTTCAGGGGTCTGCACACAGCCCTTCTGCTTCAGCTGCTGTCCCAAAGATGGGCATCCTTCACTGCAGAAAGGCACCCTCCCCAATCCTGGTGCTGCCACCTGAGCTGTGCTGCAGCTCTGAGATGCCCAATGCCTCTGTGTGCAGCTCTGGCACGTGCTTGCTCTGCTTCTAGTGATGCTTCAGAGGAGAATCAGTCTGAGCACCTCGGCCTGTGTGTCACCCGGTGAAACCCAAGAGCTGCATCCATTTTTAGCATCCGGCTGCTGGCCTGAAGATATGTTGCATTATCTGACCAACACGTAAGGGAACAAAATGAACTGCAGCTCCCCCTGCCACTTATTTACCTTCAGTTTAAACAATGCCTCTGCAGCCTGCTCTGCTCTCTCCTGTGCACCCATTTACTCAGCACCTCTTGCAGGGCTGCTCTATTTTTAAAAGTGTGCTGCTGGCTTTTATCTTCAGCTGGCTTTTTTTTTTTTTTAAGCTCTTGTACTCTCTAAACTTATTTAAAACATGTTGGTAGATAAAAGTAGCAAGGGGAGATATAGCAAATGCATTGCGGTTGGCATTGGTAATTGGGAATTAAGACAAGAGATAACAGCAGAGGTTAAAAATGAACCATTAAGCTGAACAGCAGTGTTTGTGCTCAGCAGGCGAGCAGTGATGAAGGAGCTCTGAGGCCATGAGCACTGAAGGCCACTGGGTGCTGAGTGCACCAATGCATCACCCCAGTACATGCAAAACCACTTCAAAGTCTGGGCATCTCTAGAGCTCAGAGTCTTGTTCTCCTGTGTTTTTTGTTTTAATGAATTTGGTGATTCTCTTTGCCAGGTTTGTTTCTGTCCTATTTCTATCAAATCTTCAGTTGCAGTATTTTGGTTGTATTTTAGTTTCTGCCTGTTTCATGCAATCCATTTGTTTTTCTCCATGGATCTCATCTAGAAATTTAGAGGAAATCATGGGCTCATGGACTTGTGTACATGTTATGGCTTCCTGCAGTGCATCCATCTCTGTGTATGTGGGAGAAATGCTCTCTCAGAGGGAGAGGAGTTGGGACTTTGTTTGCCTGATGCTCAGGTGCCAGCTGTGCCCTATGGGGCTGCCCTGTGCTCCCATAGTGTTCCGGCAGCAGCCCTACAGCCACCTCTGGTACACTGTGCACGTCCAGGGCTGAGCTCAGCTCCATTTCACATTCAGGCTGTCTCAGAGCTGGTTGGAATGAGGGCTTGCTAAAGCTCCCATCAGATGCTGACGGGCCTTTTTGTGCCAGGAAAACGGATGTGTGTGACAACAGCAAAAGTGCCTGGAAGCATCCCAAAGGCTGAGTGAAACGAGGGAATTTTGAGTGGCACCAAACAAAAGGAGCAGTGATTTAATTGCCACAGATGGGGAGGGGGGAGTGGTGTTAGGAAAAGCAGGAGGCTGAGATTAGCGAGGCAATAAAATGAAAATGGGCAAGAGGTGGAGCAAACTGTGCTGAGATAAGGGGAGGTGGATTTCAGTGGTGGCAGATGGAGGGGGAGCTGGCAGCCAAAGAAGGAACAAAAGGAAACCCAACAGGTAATAAATCCGTAAAAATCTCAATCAACAACTCGAAATACCATTTCCAAACTCTTTTCTCCAGGGAGCTGTGATTACAGCAGATGGATGTGCAGGGCTGTGTGCTTTCCTCAGATGCACTGAGGACCTTCAGCCAGGTGAGTGGGGCCTGAGCTCCTGCAGGCAGCACAGACTTTCTGGCACAACACAGTGGTGGTCAAACAGCAAGAGGTGAAAGAAACTGCTGCTTCCTTGACTCAGGCTGAGTCAAATGGTCAGCCTGGAAGCCAGCAGCAATGTGCTGTGTTTCCTCAAGCCCTGCAGCAGGGCACTGCACCAGGTATCTCAGTTCTGGGTGATAAGGCAGCTGTTAGCAAGAAACTCATTAATGAGTAAAGCTGGCAATAGGTGGTTGATAATAAGCAGGCATCTGGCCATTCTAAGGAGTCATTAAGGCCTTGACCATGGAGGTTTTAGCAGATAATCTCTAGAATATCTTCAGCTGTGTCATGTTGGAAAGGCCATGCTCTGCCTTTGCAGACCTTTGTGTCCCCCACATCAATCCCCCAGCTGCCCACTGCTGCAGGTGGGTCTGTCCCAGTCCTCCCTGCCTATATTTCAGCTGTTAGATGAGAAATCATTTATTTGACATATTTTGGGAGAATGGAAAATATCTGGGTACTGCAAGAACAAAAAGGGAAACGAATAGGTGAAGTATGCTGGTTGCTCTGAGCTGGCAGTTTCCCACCCAAGTGTAGGCATGGTCTGACTGCTGCTGAGCTGGGTTCAATGAGCCCCACTTCCAGGCTGCCCCTTCCTTATTCCTGCATGGGTCTTTATTCCTCCCTCTGCCTCCTCAGTGTATTTAACATCTCCCTAGCTCAAAGGAAGAAAATTGTACCATAAAAGGGGTATAAGTCATTATAGGAAAAAAAAATATATATATATATAAATAAATGCTTTAAAGGCTTCCATTAGCTTTCCCTCATTGTTTGCTACAGGTTAGGGCAAAAAGATGCTTGGGATGATGATCCTTACTTGTGGTCTTTTAAGAATCATAGACCAGAAATTTCATAGCAAAAAGACCAAATGTAAAGGAAAAGGGGGGAGGAGGGGGAATGCAGACCAGCACAGTGTGCCAGGAGTGAGGGGACACAGGGCAGCAGGAAGCTGGGGGCACAGCTCTTTGTCCAGGAGTTTTCTTGGAAACCCCTGGGACTCCTTGCCCCCAGCACATCACTGGGAATAAGAAGCATTTCTACGATGCTGAGATCAGGGCTGATCTGTTTGCTTTAAAGAACACTTTTTTTTTTTTTTTTTTTCCTTAGGGAAGCACTGTGGTCAGCCAGAAGTTCTTGGGCAGACGGTGGGAGTTAAGTGCATGAAATCCAACACTCCATGTCATATACCAGAGGTCAGGCCCAGGGTCCCTTCAGCTCCGAAGCACAAATGCAGCAAATCTTTCCCCCCAAGAAAGCCCTCCAAAGCCCATTTCTGGAAAACACAGCAGAGGCAGAATGTGTCTATTGGGCTGACTTTGTTCTCCCATCTCAAAGCACTGGGAGCTCGCAGCTGCTGTCAGTGCCTATGGACACCAAGGGTTGGCTCAGCTGCAGGGCCCAGCAGTGGCAGCCTGGGGTGCTGGTCCTTGTCTGACCCCGCTGTGTTTCACATGCTGTTCTTCTCCTCTGAGCTGAGCCAGCTCATCCTGCTCAAAACTCCGACTGAAAACATCATCTAAAAACAGCTCCTCGTGCTGGTGCCCAGAGGGGAGGAGCAGAACCCAGCAGGCACAGATGGAGCTTCAATAAATAGTGGAGCTGACGGGACGGGGCGGGGAAGGATCTCACACCGCCAGCAGCAGCTCTGTTGGGATGCAGGATGTGCAGCTCCCATGCACCCTGCACAGGGCTGTGGACAACTCACAGCTCCTCTGCATCCAGGACTTGGAGCTGGCAATGAATGCTAGAAGAGTATCATGGTTTTCTTATTACCAATTTAAGTCAGCTTTCCTGTGGTTGAAAACCATTCGTTGTTTTTTTCTTCTTTGGAGCTTTATATATCAGCTAGATACGGAATTAAAAAAACACAAACAACACAGGACATTTAAATTGCCATATTTACACTTCTCTTTGGAGGAGCTCAACTGTTCTCTGCTCAGATGCAAATAAGGAACATATTTCTACTCTAGGTATTTTTGGTCAGAATGAAGAGATAAATAGTGCACTCCAAACGTCACGCTTCCAACCCGCTCCAGCTAACTTTGGTCAAGAAAACTTTGCACAGAACACCAGCACGTTTTGAGCATGAACTGTAATTCTTTTCTCCTGGCAGGAATTTATTGCTAATTGAGCCGATCTGCAGCATGGGAACCAACAAATGAGGGCCAAAACCAAGGCTGCCAGACTTAAATCACTTACTGGTTATGAAATGGGACAGAACAGCCCCAGAGTCACACAGAAACATGAGCATGGTGGTGACACGGCCTTTCATGCACAGCGTCAGCACTAAAAACAGCATATAGATGGTTTGGGAAGTTATAAACACCGACATCATGATTCTATTCTGGGTTGGTCCTATGACAAAAGGGGAAAAAATAACCAAATGAAAACAGCAACAACCAAAATCCAATGGAAGATAAGAGCCCAAAGCAATGGGCAGCACTGCTCGGGGCCCACTGTGCTGGCTGTGGGATGGGAGCTGGCAGCACTGACTGACACCAGCACAGCTGCAGCCCCACAGCTCCAGCAGCACAGTGCTTCAGAGCTCCCCTTCTTCTTCCTCTTCTTAATTATCATGATTTTTTAAGCTAAACAGCCATTGTCAGGTTACTCAGGCCTTGTCCCCATCTAGCATCCCATGATATCCGAAGTTTGGATGGATATTCAGAATGGCTCTTCTTCATCTTCAGCGTGTCAGACTTTCTCAGTTGATCTCAAGTCTACCTCCAGACATCTCCCAAGTACGGTGTGGGGCTGATCTGCCCCAGATAGCCCTGCAGGATGGGAGCCGTGGGGCAGGAGTGCAGCCTCCATCCGCTAATCCATTGATTATTAAGCAGCATTGATCTGCAAATGTCTCAAAGGACTGAAAGGCCTTGGAGAGATGAGTGGCAAATTGTTTAGAAGCCAAAAAATTTCCATGAGATAATTTTCAGTGGAAAGTGATGGAGAAAAGCCCACTGTATCTTAAGTGCAATATAAATTCTTATCAGAGAGCGTTTTGATGTAGTTTTAACCTCTGAATTAAGAGCCACAATTCAAAAGACATCTGCTAACTGATGATTCTGCAAAACCAGAAGTGCATCGCATGCATTCAAATGAGCTCAAAAAAAGCACAGGCACATCTGGTTTCATGAATCAGATCAGAACAAAAACTGTTCTCTGTTGCTGTTGGTTTTGCCAGCAGTGGAGATGAAGGTGAGTGAAAGGCAGAGCAGATCAGATCTCTGAGGGTCAGGGCATGCAGACATTCCCTGTGTGGAGTTGGCTCACCCCCAGCATCACCTGTCTGCATCAGAACAGGGAACTACTCCTGTCTTTTCCACACAAGAAGAAAATATCAGCTTCAGCCCTGAGTCCCGAGATGCTCCTTTGGCCCTGGGTATGTTGAGCACATGGGTCACACAAAAGCTGGAGCTGAGGGAGCCCTAGCTGTGTAAGTAAGGGGGATTTCTGCCAAGAAAGCAGGAGAGGTTTTTCTGTAGCTGGCCCCTGGAGAATGCTCTCTTTGACAGAAAAAAAGTAAATGTAAAAAAATCCATCCCTTGCAAGCTTGTGAAAGCATGGCTGTGGGCCATGGGCGTTCTAATGGGCTTTCTAACTCCCTGGCATATGTCCCCCACCTTAATGCAAACAGGAGAAGCCTATTGCAAGAAGTCCTCGTCCTCTCTCCTTTTTTTTAAACTTATTTTTTTGCTGTTCTTCTAAAGCAACATCATCACATTGCTCAAGCAGCAGCCGTGCAAACTGCAGCGCTGATCCCTGAAATGCTGCAGTTCTGACTTCCCCAGCAGTTCTGCACAGTTTGCCCCCCTTTCCATGGCAGCAGAGATGCTGCCCAGCCCTGCAGCGCACCGCTGTGCTGTGAGCACAGTGACAAACCTCCTGTTGTGAGCTGCACAGGAGACATCTTCCCGCTCAGAAAATCACATTTCCCTCTCACAGGGCCATTCCACCATCTGACCAAACACCTCACTAAATTCCAGACACCAAGACTGAACTCCGGACCGGCCCTTGGCAGGAGAATTATCCACAACCCTGTCTACCATGGTCCCGTTTTCTCTTACAGAATTTGTCAAGAATTCCTGCCAGCTTGAGAGCAGCCGCTTGGGTTCCAGTATCACTGCTGTCTGCAGCCCTTCCACAGCCAGGCTGGCTCTGCTCCAGCACCTGGAATGGGCTTCCGGAGCCATCTCCTCTCTTATCACTCATTGCACCGATAGTCAGCCTGAAACAAGCTCGACCTTCTGATTGATTTGAACTTTGGCCAACAGGAAAACACTTGTTGTAGCAGCACAGTCAGGCACCCAGCTGTCTGCTTTGTGTAACGGGGCAGCGGGGTTAAATTAAGGCCCGTTCCCCACCATGAGCACAGGGGAAGAATGGAAACTCACCAGATGTTGGCATCAGGCTGAGCAAGATGCGAGTGCAGGTGGGGCTGTCAGCTCCTGCCACGTGCTTACACTGGAGAATGCATTTCAGAGAAAAAGAAACTTCCCAAATCATTGAGAAAAAGCCCTTGTTTGTCACCTTCCTGCTCTCTCTGCTGTCCCCACATGCCCTTCTAAAGCCATCCCTGTGCTGAGGACACGTCCTGAGAAGGGTCACTGCTGATCCTGCACACTTCGTCACCAACAATGACCAACAAACCCTTGGAACTAATATTTCCATGGCATTGAAAATAGAATTGGAAAGGAAAAGATTTAGTTGAGCATGTTTGTTTGTTTCATCAAGCTGCCACAGGCCAGAGTCTGTAACTTCATGCCATATTTCAAACTTGGAAACGAGAAAGGACACCAAAACAACTGAAAATGGATAACAAACAGTAAGTGGAAAGCAATGCAAAAACCAGACACACAGGAACAACCACACTGGAGTGGATCCAGATCTCCCCCACGTTATAAAGCTATTTTATATTAATGTGAAGGGGAATTTATGAGTTTGAGTTTGTTCTCTACCATCTCCACAGGATTCAATCTAGATAGACCTAAGTACTGAGAAACAGTTTTTCATCAGTGGTTCCCACCTTGTGAAGCCACACAGCCACTGCTCTCCTGCTGGCCCCATGCTGCTGCTGTGCAGAGCAGTGGCTGTCACAGCAGATCTCGCCCTGCTCGGATGTGGCCACAGGTCGGTGAGGACGTGCACTCCCTCCTGGGGGTCTGCAGATCCATTCCTAGGCACCGCCAGCCCCGAGGGGCTCCGGGAGGAAAGCAGCCCGGTACCGCTCTGCTGCTCCCTGCGGGCTGATTGCAGAACTGCTGTCGCCCTGCAGGACCACTGTAATGGTTGAGCGGGTGCCAGAAGCCTTGCTCATCCTGGGTAACTCTCGCTGTCGCTTTAGAAGGGATCCACAGAGCCGCAGCGGTCTGCAGCATCCATACGACACCTCTTCTTTCTTACCAACACCAATAAAGAAATGGTGCTGCATGCCCAACACGTGTGGTGCCTTCGAGGCAGTGCAGCCACTACTTCAATCTGGTGGCTGGAATGCAGCAGCAATGCCTTCAGCAGAGATGTGCCTCTGCCTTCAGGGCTGTGCTGCAGCACGCAGCTCTGCACGAGGAGCCCTGAAGCACTGTCAGGAGGAGCACAGTGTTCAGCACTGACTCTTTGGGTGCAGAGGAAGGAAGGTTGGAGAGCAAGAATTCTGCTCTTCAGGGCTCATCAAACAGCCACACATGGAAATCCCACCTGCTGGGCCCCAAACACCTGGCAGCAGGGAGAGAAAAGCACTTTTTGGTTTTAAAACGTAAGGACATAACAACATTCTGTCATTTGGATCACGTCTCCATGTCCATTCAAGTTTGGAAAGTTAAATATAGCCAGCACCTTATGAAATATTCATTGAAGTAAGCACTGCACTGGGACCCACAAATCACTGTGCATGTGTTCAATACTTACAAGTGTAGCTGTGGTGAGGAGTTGGGCTCGACCCCTCGCTATGGTGCATAAGGGCTGGTGGGCAACCTGCTGCTGCTGGCTTACCAAACCATAAACCACAAACCTGGCATGTGGGTGGGGACAGCTCTCAGGTCACAGAACAAGGCTCACAAGTCAACAGCACAATTTGATGTCAATCCACAGCTCATAATCCACAGCTCACGTGTCAGCTGTAAGAGTTAGTGTTACAAGCAAAACGTCTGGGACAGACCCTAGGAAACACTATTATTTTACCTGGTTGCTTTCTGTCTTCTTTGTGAGGATGGTTGGGGCTTTCTCCACACCCTGTTGGGGCTGCAGCGCTGAGCGTCTGACTCATCCATCCAGGCACAGAGCACCTCGCGCGTCCCTCCTCGCTGCTCTCAGCCACTGATTATCTCAGATCATCACCAGTGCTTTGGATGACCGAATAAACAGGATTATCCTCTCCCGGTGCCTGTTAAGTCAAAACTGGATGGTGATCCTATTAGTGGATCGCAATAGCACGAGGATATCCAAGCAGGAGATTATCTTTTACTTGCTCTGCGGAGCTGAAAACAGCACTGGGAAATTTTTAATCTCCATGAAGGGGACAGTAGAGCTCACAGAAAGAAACCCGAATTCATGACCATCCCCTCAATCAGCTGCCTAGCTCAAAAAAAAGCATCACGATCGACAAAGTCATACCCTCCTTTCATTGATATAGAAACGGATTTGGGATGCCAATAGAAAACATCTTACATGCATAGCCTCTTTCATCCGAACTGATCCCAGCAAGCCTTACAAGTGCCACATGCCAACGGCACGTGGGATTAACAGCACTTACAGGAGCCTGTCTGTGCTCCCTCTGAGGTTACAGAGCAGGGGCACTCACTGCTGAGTCAGACATGGGCTGGAATGGGGCCAGGCTGCTGAGCTCAAGCCTTGCATTGTGCTGGAAGGGTTTGGGCCTGCGCCTTGTGCAGAACAACGGGGCAGGTTGCAGTAGGGCACAGAACAGTGCTGTTTGTGACATCTTGATAATTCACCCTTATTTGGTTTTTTCCAGCATTCAAGGTTAAAAATATTGCGAGAAGTTGCAGAGGAGGAAATACCCATATCTCAATTAAAATCTCCTCAAAGAAATGATCTGGTTTTTACAGCAGAATATCAGGGAAGCAAGCCAGCCGTTTCCCAACACCTTTTAATAAATGCATGCAGAAAAATAAATTCCTTCAAAAGAAGCTTTGAAGAGTGTAATTAAGCATGAAAGTTACCATATATTAAATTATACATCTAGTAAAAAAGAGTCATTAGCCCAGCAAATGGGCTGTTAATGATTTCAGGTTTGCCTCAGGCTGCAAGCCAACCAACCTGTGATGAAGCAGTGGCTGGGCTGCTGCTGAGCCTGGCTGCTGCCGCAGACCTTGCCCACTGCTTGACAAGCATGGAACAACCAGACCTACTATAAGTCACACCAAACGTGACCTGTAGAAACAGCTGGAGTTTGGGGCAGGTGAAATGCCAGCTTTGAGATACTGGGAGCTCCTCCATGCACCAGACCCCGGTGTGCATCCAGCTGCACTCCCCCACTCCTGCTGGGTCTCGTGGTCCTCTGCTCCTGCCCAGAGGGTTCCCAACCCCACGGGCTTCCCTCCAGAGCTGCCACAACCCCACGATCCCGACAGCAGAGCTTTGGCTGAAGCCTGCCTGCCTTCAGCACTGAGCTGGCTGCCTGCCCAGCAAGGGGAGACGTGGCACTGAGGGGCTCCATGGTAGGGCATGGTGACATGGAGACATGGCCGTGAAGGCCCAGCTGCTCTGCCTGTTGCTGGCCGGCTGCTTCTCCCCTCCTCTCTCTGGGTAGTTTCCCCTCTTCCTGTAGTGCAACCCAAAAGCACAGAAGCCCATGTCCTTGCTGGGCCCTGAGCTCCACTGGGTGCTCCCTGGAGAGCTGCTCACGGTCTGAGCTGACAGAGCATCCCTCCCCCGAGCAGAAGTGGTGTGAACACAGCACACTGTGGGATGGTCCAGCAGCAAAATGAGAGCTCTGTTTGACTTAAGGAAGCTCTTCTGTCACTATTTCGTAACAAGGAGTTCTGGTTAGTTCTGACTTTTTTCAAATAAAACAGAGGCGTTTCCCTCTTTTCTGGTTCACATGATCAAAGGGCCAAGATTTATATTTCCATATAAGAATAGATTGGATCATGTCAGCAGACAATGGCATGACCCCCAGACCCAGCTCCCACCAGAACAAGGCCACTTGCCAACTGGGGGAGGGAGTTTCTCTAGAAACAGTGCTTACCTATAGCACCGAGAGCTAAAGTTCCCTTTCCTGTCCACCTTTCTAAGGGCAGCACTCAAGGCACAATCTCAGGTGGCCTTCCGGACCCCATTTAAGACATCTACATCATTCTATGTCAGATAAGTCATATGTATGATGCCTGGTCCTTCCTTCAAATGCTGTTGTTTCTCATGGTTATTCCTACAGAAAGAACATGGCTCGATTTTGGCAGCAGTTGCACAGACTTCAGGGTAAATATAGCTGCCGTTGACTTTCCCTGAGCCTCAGATACTTCTGAAAATAAGCTTTCTGGCACCCACTGAGGAACATGCTGAACATCTTTAGTTACATGCCCCCAAATAAAAGGAACCCATAAGATCCTTACCAGCAGCCATAAGAATTCAGTTTGAGATCACATTTAACTCTCCTTAGAAATATTCAGGCGCAGTGACAGCAGTCAGAATATCTGCAGTGCAATCAGCGGTGGCATCGCAGAGTGTAACTGGAAAGTAAGATAATTAAATAAAAGAACTAAATTAGTCAGTTTAACAGCCTCCCCTGTATGGGTCCATGTGATACTGACGGCTGTTCTAAGGGCACCTGAGCTTTCACCACGCTGACCCCAACCTCAGCTCACACAGCTCTCAGGTCTTCGTATTTAAAATACACTTTCCAAATTTGTTTTGTTTGTAATACATTAAAAAAAAAAAAAAAACAAAAAAAAAAACCCAACAACCTTTCCCACTAAAGCAAGTAGATTTTCCAGTGAACTCCAGCACTTAACCCTGCAGCACTTTACTATTTCTAGATTAGAGCATGAGTTTCACATTTTTTCCAGGAGAAAAAAAAATACATGCATGAATTTATAATGCCACTGTAGCAAGCAGAGGAAGAATCCTGGAACAGAAAATAACCTGAGCAACAATACTGGGCCCAAACTTTCCCAGAAGCTCAGGAGCAGCAGCCCACTTCTGCTAAGGCTGCAGACAGTTCTGTGCCCCTGCATGCAGCCGCCCCATCCATCAGAGCTGGGTGCCCTGTTACGAACAGCCTTTGTTCCACTGGCTCCCTGCTATTCCAGGGATGCTCTCCTGAAGGGACCAACCCTGACACGTTTTGTTTCACATCCTACCTGGCTGGCATGGCCTTGGTGTGGCCTTCATCACTCACAAGTGAGCGCAACAGATGAGCATTGCTTCTTGCTGAAAGCATCCTGGTCTGCCCTGAGTGTCCACAGCTGGTGATGAGACAGGAATCCTTTTCCATAAGACAAAATCCTTTTCCTGATTAGGAAAAATAGTAATAAAAGAAAATTACTTCATTTCCCCAGAAGAACATTTCAGAGGAAGCAAACCAGGGCTTTTTGTTCTGTTAGAAACCTGTCTGGGAGGCATCACCCACCCCATGCTCTCCTACCATCTGGGAGAAGATGAGACGGGCCTTCTGGAGCTGAGACCCACTACATGCTCATGGTTTCATTCAGAAACACGAAGGATGAAGTAAACTCTTTCTTCACACCACATTTCTTTTCAGAGCTAACAAGCCCTCTGAGGATGGACTGCAGCTGCCCAGAGCTGGGCTCACACAGCTCTGCGGGGCTTCGACCTGCTGTGCTGTCATCCCTTCCCACAGAACCACTGCCTGGGATCAAACTACTAAATGGCATTTGTTTGTGTTGCCGCTCCTTTGCAAAGATGTGCAGACACTTGCTGTGGGAGCCACTGGGCACAGGCAGCAGCAGGAGGGCACTGCTGTCCCTGGGAGGGCAGGGTGGCTGTCCCACACCCAGGGCTGCCCCGGGAGCAGCTACTGCTATGAGAAGCGGAAGAATAGTTCCCGTTTTTAATTATCTGATCGAGTTTTCCACACTAAATCTAATTGAGACAGCAAGGAGGGGGCAGGATTTGAAGACAGACAAGGCATTTGCATCTGTTTTGCTGATTATAGTAGTTGCACATTTTACTTTAAACACCAATGGGCTGCAACTGCTATTCAAATGATATGGAAATTGGTACTTTACACTGAAATCTCCCTTAAGCAACAAAGGAAGGGATTAGCACACGGCTCTGCTTCTCCTTTTCTCTTCTTCTTTTCATTTTACTAAAGCACTGTGGCAGTGGAAATCTGATGGCTCATAAACAACACCTGTATCTTCTAATTTTTATTATATCAAGCTGCAGAATATTTGAACCCTTTTATGTAACCATGACAAAACAATTTTTAATTAAAAAAAAAAAAGTGATCAGTATCTGAAACACTGAATTAACTTCATTTTCACAGGGCCTATCTATAGGTACACAAATGATAGAGGACAGCGATCAGCTGGGTGCCTGCACAGAACCTGCCTCTCCTGCACAAACCTGAGCAGCACTCCTCATGGGTCAGTGCCACCCAGGACTCAACGGCTGCCCTCAACCCCCTTTCATGCAGTCCCACAGATGGCAACTTCCAGTGAGCTTTAATGGAAACTTTGCATGAATGCACCCTCTCAGCACAGTTACCCAGGGCTTGCTGGGGAAAACAAAGGTGCATTGCTAACAAAGTATTTTAATGCAATCCCCTGCAGAACTACTGATAGAATTAAACTGTAAAAGAGTTTGCACAGCTCACATATCTGTGCCAAAACTTTGATGCTCTGCTGACCTGGGATGGGGGAGATTGTCAGGTCCTCACCAAGTCATGCAGTCCTTCAAAATTGCTGATTCAGACATTGAAGCACTGAACACAGTCACTGGGTTCTCACATTCCTTCAGCCCTTCATAGAGCACAGACAGGATTAAACAAAGCAACTCCTTTCTCTCAATAAAATTTCAGTACGTGACCCACAGAATAGAGCATTATCAGTCTGGAACTGCCCACATTACACAGGGACCCAAGTTCTGCTCTTACCCCCGTGCCTCTGCATCCTCACTGCCTTCAGTGGATTTTTAATCACAGAAATAAAAGGGCAACATCACTTCAGAACATGTGCACTGTATCCATCATACCAAAACCAACACAACAGGGCAGGCTACAGCACATTCATGCAAGAACTCTGATAACTGCGTTTGCACTTCTGGTTTTGTCAGCCACACATGAATATTTATGCACATTTCCATGATGTGCCCCTGGTTTGCATAGGGCACAGGTTGTCAGCAGCTGAAAGCCATTAGCATCTGACAGCTGCTGAAAGAGCTTGTTTGGAACAAATAGGTGTCCTGTCCTGCAGAGCAGGCAGGTGATCGGGGCATCGTTAGGGGCTGCAGCTCTGGCAGCTGTTGGACAAGGAAGGCCCTCCCTGTGCAGCTCAGCCCGGCCTGGAGCAGGGAGATTTAATTATCACCACCACATAACGTGTGGTTTGTAGGAGGCTGAGACCTGACAGAAACAGATAGTGGGCAAACAGAGAGCAGATCACAGCCGATGGAGCAATTAGAATCCAAATAAGAGCCCATGAGCTGAGAGAGCAGATGTTGCTGTCCATCAGCATCTCCCCATCAAATGTATGTTTGAATGGTATTTGAGGAAAAGGTAAAAAAGCATTACTTGCAGAATTACGGGATGCTGGTGGGGGATGCTCAGGGACAGGTCCTCACAGGGGAAACCCTGGGGATCTCTTGGAGCAGAGGTGGGGACATTCGGTGATGGGGATTGAGAGGGCCCAGGAGGGGCACCTCCCCCTGCAACCAGCTAGAGCAGGAATGAGCTGAAGACTTGTCGTTGTATTCCGTGGTAGGGAGAGAGAAGAGCCCTGTGAAGTGGGCAGACAGCGCTGGGTGTTCCCACCTCAGCCACAGGGAGGTGAACAAAGCCCACAGAACCCTGCTGGGAAAGGCTGTGTGTACAAAGCATACACACAGGTGCCAAACGCTCCACAATATCCATCCAAGCAACCGTGCTTTCTCAAAACCAGAATAAGAGCATTTGGTGGGCAGAGATGAAATCGAGTGGTGAAATATAACAGAAGTAGTACACTGCAGGGTTACCCTTCTGAGGTGCTGAAAATACATGCTTTCATCCCACACCAAGAGCACAGCAATCCCATTCAGCATATTCACACATCACTCACACCTCCCAGCACACATCTGCTTCTAGGGAGAGACTTGAGAGCACGTGGGGCTGGGCCTTCATCTCACATTCTGTGCCCGTGGTTGCAATTACAAGCACAGTCATGGCGAATGTCTGTGCAAACGAGAAGCTACAAATCCTCTTGGTACTTCCTGGGTCGTTGCTTCACTGGTATTCTTGAAAATGGTGAGCATGGAAACGCCCCCTCTTTTCTGCAAGCATATGCATGATACGGCTCTAATTGACAAACCTTGAAGTTAACAAGAACAGCAAACATCTGTGCCCAAAACCATGGGTGAGGAAGCACCCTCCATTTCTCAGGGCTCACAAAGCATTCACTGCTGCCTGTTTGCACTGCGTTTTTAAAACACGGGTTGTTTAAAATATACACAATTAATATTAACAAAGACCTGTAGTTCTCAGGGCGAGTCACTGGCACGAGCACTGCCTTCTGTCTGATGTGCAGTGACCTTTGGAAATATTTTTAGGCACCATCCTATAAGCAATGCCTCTTGCACCAATTGCCTCTGCCCAGATATAAACCAGCAGTAACCGTGAGAGCTGCGTGGGATGGATTTGTGTTTTCTAAAACTGGGGGGAAAAGACAATTACTGAAGTTTGGAAGAGGCCCTAAGCTGCACAGCTTTCTCATTTGTTTAATTCTAACACATGCAGAAACTACGTGCCGTGGGTAAGGACACTGCAGCACATGGAGAGCCAGCAGGAGGCTTCTCAACAGATCACACCACAGACCAAACCCGTGCCAGAGTTCAGAGGTGTAAGATGAAGGATTTGTTCCTTTTCACTTACCATTTAGAAGGTTCACGTGAGGGAGCAGTCAGTACATGAGAAATGAACTGAGTTCCACTTTTATTTATTTATTTGGCCAAGGATCCTGAAAGAAAAAAAAAGGTTCCGCAGCCCTTTCTGCCCACACTTCTCACTGTCTGCCCACCTTGCAGTGCTATGACATGATAGAAAAGGAAATATAACAAGGTGGAAGAGCAGCAATATCTCAGACTTCAGCAAGTGAGGACCTGCTTAGACATCATAACAGCGAGTGCAGAAACAAGAGAAAGAAGCTGCTTACCTTCAGGATGCCTGTGAAATTCTATCATACATAGGGATCTCCAAATGAGATACCTTTGCTTTCCCTGCCAGTCCTTAAATGAGGGCTGGAAGGGGTGGATCCTGGCTCCAGCCCTTCCATCACTCAGATGCATTGCTTACACCTGAGCTCCTCTGGGTTGGCCCTGCTTTCCCATCAGGTGCTCCATCACTGCTTCAGGCCACGATGTACCATTTCCACTACAGTCACAGGACACAGCTCTCAGAACTGCACAGGGCCCTCGTGGCAAACCCTCCATCCTCAGTCCCCATCCCTGCCACGTGCCCGCATGCTTTACACCACACACAGCAGGAGGAGTGCCGGCTGCCTGGCTGTGCAGGCACAGCACTGAGAGAAGTGATGCCAAGGAGCTGCTCGCTGTCATTTCCTGCAATTAAAGACTATTTATTTTTACAGCTCGTGCTGCCAACCCCCCCATCTGACTGTCACACTTGCTGAATTTTATTTTCAGAACGCTGTAATTTGTTAGAGATCACATCCAACTGGTTATTTGACTGTCTGGGTTTAAATACCACCTTTGTAGCTAATCCCGGGGCTCTCTATCACAAATGTGAAAATTTAAGAGAATTTTCTCCATTTGTATCTCATGAAGGAATTCTCTTCATTTAAGGCAAAGGATGGAGTTCTCTGCCAAGTATTTATATACAAATAGAATCACAATCTCTGGCTTTGTGATAGGAGCTGCATCCTCAGGGTACAATTACGGCAATTATCTGGATGGATCTTCTCATCAGTAACCTTTGACTCATCTCCTACGAACTGTCAGTCTTCATCATCAAATGGGGAAAGCAGTCTATTGTTTCTATTCAATCATCTGCTTCTGAGAAAGAGAAAACCCCACGATGAGGACAGCCTGCCTGCCCATATCCGTGACCTCCTGCAGCTCTCCCGCATCTGCCAGGCGGGCGGCAGGGACTGGCAGCAGCTCACTGCTGTGCTGCACTGCTGTCATGACGAAAGCAGCAGGCGCCCTCTGAAACTTCTGCATTTCTTTTAGGGATTTCAAGGCAAGCAGAAAAGATCTTTTTGCATGCAAAATACGGATGCATCTCCTAGTTCTAAAAGGTGCCGGATGCCTCATTCCTCTGTGGGGTCTGTTGGTTACCTGTTATTTCTGGAATGTGGCCCCAGTAGGAAGAGAGCACTGTCCCAGCTCCCATCTAACTGTAATGCATTACACTGAGCTAAAAGTGTCTGCTACTGACTTGCACCTATGCAAAGAGGGAGCATAGTCTTGCATTAACACTACTATTGTGCTTATTGCCACATAGCTGGTACTGAAACACCAGCAGAAGTGTTGTTGGAGGGCCTGGGGGATAAAGCCCATTTTAAATGGGGTAATCTTAATTTGGAGTCAGCAATGCAAAGCAACGTGGCATGAATGACTCAGTTCCAGGAGAACATTTAATATAGGATGGTAAATAACTACTGTAAACATTTTTAGAACTTAAACTATTGTGAATTATTATGGCAAAAGTACAGATGAATTGCTATATCAAAACAATGGAGAATCATTCCTGCCCTAAAGGGGGATGGCTTAATTCTCCAAGCATACAGTCCTTCCAGAAAATGAGTAGCAGTTCCCAGGCTAAATTACAATCACTTTTAGCTGCTACATATTCTTGGATAAGGTGATAATAAAAGCAAACAGTAATGTCCCTCCTTGCTTTCACCCCATTAGCTGTGAGTGCTGCTGTGTGAGCAGGACAAGGATACAAATAATAACAGATCAAAACTGGAAAAAAATCAAAGCTAGAGATAAACTAAATCACAGTGGTGAGCTACCACAGGAGTAAGAAGCCAGATTCTTCATCATCAAGTGCCAATTCAAAATGGAAACAGATTGAATGGAAGCTGTCAGAAGATTCTTCACACCTTCGTATTGCTCACACAGCCCTGTAATGCTAGGCAGAACCCAACTGGTTTGCAACTGACTTCAAACAATAGCTGGGCTGTCTAGAGCCCAGCAACACCAATGACGTTTGCCTGAAGGCATACTGTATTAATGTCAATTGCTTTCAGATGCACATTTAGTTTCTCAAACAAAACAAAAAATCAATATTAAACCGTGCAAGTGGGAGTTAGTGCAAGAGCACACAGCATTCTGTCCCACACGCCTCTGCCACCATCGGTCACACGGAGCAGCTCCCTTCATTGCAGAAGGCAACACTGCATCTGTACCCACGTCTAAGAGTTCCTCATTTCACTCTTCCTACTTTTGAAAGGTCTTCAGACTGCTGAACCTGCATCTCTTTTGTGAGCCTTCCTTGTTACCAACAGCTGAATCTCCCTCCATGTTTCCTCCCCACGAGACCCTTTGCCACCAGCCTCAACCACAGCCTTTAGTCGTGCTGCCATGGTGCTTTTACATCAGCCTAAGCTCTGACCTTTACAAAGTTATGAATGTTATTTCAATTTTAATACTCGGAGTTTAATGTCTCTGGAGGAGATTAACAGCACCAGCTTAATGTCTTTAGTTCCTTGCACATTTGCTCACTGCTTTCTAATGTAACTTAATCACTGCATGCTGCCACACCCCTCAGTTTCTATTTCGAGTTCAGTGAGATTATTTAAACAAGCAATAAGGCAGCAGCACACTGTATCATGGGTCTCGTTGCTCCTAAAAGCAGAAGAATTAAATCAGAGATTAATTTCCTTCTGTGTTTCATCTTCCTCCTCTGTACAATGGAGACAGCCATAGCTGCTGCTGCAGGGAGCTGCCAGGTTTTCACAGCAACAGACACAATTAATAGAGCTGCAGGAGCAGGGAGGAAAAGGAGGTGTGCTTACAGCTGTGGGCAGGGAGCTCTGGCTCCAGCTGTAGCACCACAACCTTTGCTCCCACCAGTACCAGCACTGCCCATCAGGGAAGGAAGCAGGCAGCACTGCCAGGAGGGTCATCTCAGGTTTGAGCTCTGAGGTCCCACAGCTGTCACTGGACTCTTTCTTTTACAGAACAAGACAACCTGCACCAGTGCAAGCAACTGGCATCAGAGGAATCGTGGCTGTGTACCTTTCCAATTGCATTGTAGTTGTGAGATTGTTAAATAACAGTAACATGTTAATTCTAACTAACAAAAAAAGTAATCGCTGTGAAGATCTTGAGCAGATGACAGTCAGTGTGTTTTGTTACTGAGACTCAGCAACCAGCAAGATTTAAAAGACACAAACAGTTATTCTGGATACAAAGGAGAGGATATCAGGAATTTAAGATGACAGTTAATTTCTTGGAAAGGAGACAATTCAGGAATGGAAACAAGCTGGAAACTCACTGTTCTCTGCTCTTACAGAACACTGCCTAGGCAAAAGACAAAGATCACTGTGCAGTGAAATCCCAGATCACAGCACGCTGAGGTGCCCTCATGCGTACAGTGCACTGTGCACTATTCCTACACCACTGTAGGAGTACACAAGCACAGGAGTGCAGGCTGGCACGGCCCCGAAGAAGGCAGGCTGTAGGCTGGGGCTGTGCGCCCTGAGCACACTGCTGGCTGCAGACCAGCAGCTCATCCCAGCAGTGCGCTGCTGTTGGAGCAAGGCAGATTCACAGCCTGTCCTCCTTCCTGGCAGAGAAAAGACAAAAAGGAATCAGAGCATCTTGGTCACGCATCTAACTTTTGCTGGTCTCCTGTCGGAAGAGATGTGAGCCGGTGCTGCCATCTCCAGGAAGCGCTGCTGATCGCCTCCATCGCGCACCGCTCAGCACCAACCCATGGCAGCACAGCTCACAGCACCGACCCGTGGCACGGCAGCACTACCATGAATATCTATTTCATGACATGAACCGTTCCTGAGCGTTTAATGACTCCTCTGTCATTAGTAACATGAAGTTTTTAAAAACTGGCATCTGTTCAGAGTAAGGTCTGTTTTAAAAGAGACTAATAAATGTGTACTGATCTTCAAGGTAGAAATATCAGCATTAAGTTAACTTTGTAAACTAATCGTCTGAAAGCTATGGTAATGCAAGTTCTTAACCACAAAGAGCAATCAGTGTTCCCAGTTAAAAAGCACGAGTCCATAAGGAATGACTCCTGAACAGGTCAAAAGAATTCTTTCTTGATTTCAAAAAGGACACAGTCTGGCTTCTAACTATTCAAACAGTCATTTTTCAACTTCATTAAAATCTTTTATTTTTTTCTTTTACGTTCCTCTTTGCATAGTCTGATGCTCAGGTACCAGCACAGGATAGCATTCAGCTTGGTTACTAACAATTGAAGCAAGCAATATATTCAGAACACTGATAAAGTAACTTAGACAAACTTCAAAGATGAATTTCAACAAAGAAATCTGTTGCTCAGAATTTATAACAATAATGGAAACCCTATGAAAACAGACACAAAACAGTAATTATTAAACCTTATTAAATGCTCAAATAACAACTACTTTAATGGAAGGAGGACAAAGCTGATGAATAATCTTGATAAATGAAACAAACTGAATCCTAGTGATTGCCACAAACATCTGATATAGAGTGTTCACTGAAAGGAGAGTTAGCAAATGTTCCTTACACTGAAACATCATTACCTTTCATTTTCTCACCTCAGGAAAATACAAACAGACTGAAGTTCACACAGCTCTCAATTGTACAGAGTTACTAAAGAATAAATTTGTTTCAGGTCAGCACGTAAATCTGGAATTCTGGATGCAAATCTAGAAGAAAAATGACATTCAAGCTGAAAGAAACCTATCTTTCATAACTTACTTCAAAATTAGCTTGTTTCCTTCATTCTGTTGTGTGAATGTAATAAAAGAGATGAAGCTTCCCTATAATTTTCAGACGTCAGTCCATCACAGCCATTTCACAAGGTGGTTCTGTCTTCTGCTTTCAAAGCTGTTGCCTCTATTCCTTCTAAAACAGGAACAATCTGGCATAATGTTCACTCTTCACAGTAGAGACATCTGGGAACAATTCCAGGTCAGTTTTGCAAAAAAATTAAATATTGTGATGATTAACCAGAAAGACAAGCAAATATTTCAATAGTTTCCACTATTAGGCAATTTAATGTAGTGGATAAAATAGTTCCAGTATATAACATCATATCTTAACTTTCAATTTATTAAGAGAATGAAACTATTTTACATTGAATATTATATGATGAGCCAGGTAAGTAAGTAGCACTCATTATATGTTTAGAAGAAAACTAGGCATTCAGTGTGGAAATTTAATTTTCATATGATAATATAATCAACAATTAAAAAAGAAAATGTGTGTTCCAGCAAATCACTGATGGCAGCAGCCACAAGCCATTTCTAACCAGGGCTCAGCTCTTATGATAACAGCCATTAATAAAAGCACATAGAGGATCCCACAGGCCCTGCACATTGTGCAAGAAGTGGACAGCAATGTATGCTCCCAAATGTCAACTATGCTAAAAAAAATCTGGAACTAGCACAGAAATTCTAAAAGCTGTGCATGTCAAATAACAGACTGAATATCTGCATGAGCAATATCTAATGAGACATTATCTTAGCTGTAGAAATTGAAGCTTCCAGATGAAAGGATCTGAAAGATACCAAAAATATATTGTTTGCATTTTTGTACCAAAACATTAATAAACAGCTAAATCTAATTATTGCAAAAGCATACACACTGCAGCTGTAAACTTCTCTCTAACCATACCATTACAGCCTTACAGTGAAAACAGAAATGTCAATGCTAATGTAAACTCAGCTGCTGATATATATTCATTAGATTCTGAAAGGCTTCAGCATTTCTTACTCTGTGTCAAATTTTATCTCCATGTCATTGGCCACGAATCAGTATAGGTATAACCTGCTATATCAAAATGTAATGTTTGAGGACACCTAGGCCTCAGATATATTTCCATAATTGTCTCTTGATGCACGAGGAGACCAGGATCCTGCCCATGGCCTTGCCTAACTGAATTTTTATATATTTTGTGCTTTGCCTAGTCAACAGAAATGCACATAAATAAGAAAACATCTCTGGATCAAATTTAGACTGTAAGGTAAAATTGCTAGAGTATTACCATGTATGTGATGACACACTAAGGTTTAAGAGTATTAAAGTTAACTTCATCTCTTTTAAGAGTTGCAAAGAAGAGAAATAATTGTGCCAGGAATATGCCAGCAGACAGAACAGGTGTTACTATGATCCCTATGGAGATCTGACTGAGCTCAGCCAGTGAATTGATCTGAATTGATTCACTTCTTAGGAACCTTAACCTAATGAGAAAAGATGAGGAAGCAGAAGAAAGAGAAGGAAAGAGATTAACTGTAGACCATCCTCTGTTTTTTATCAAAGGAATAAACCTTCAGTGCTCAAGAGCTACCTACACTGAGTAACACTAAGTGATTACAAGTGCCCTTCTGATTGTACAGACATGCTGAGCCAAGAGCTCTGTAAATGGGCCTGGTCACCTCCGCAGCATGACAGAAGGGCGACTCTAGCTATTTAAATCACTGGAGTTTTTATTACTGGTTCATTATCTGATCCAAGTATGAGAGAAGAACAATTTTTTCAATAGGATGCGTATTGAGATTCATGTGCAATTTGAGTTTTGAAAATGAAAATGTTCCAATCTGGTTTGTGTTAAAGCAGTGTAATATCAAAAATGGGCTCATAAGGAAACTCACTAGGGCTCAGCTCAGCGATGAGTGTTTCATTCACCTTTATAAAGGCAAAGTGAATTTGTAAAAGGGAAAAGAAAAAATGCGTTTGTAAGCATTGCTGAGCAGGGAGTTTAGGAAGATATCTGCAGGAGCTGAGGAACAGCAGGCCCAGAACCTCAGCAGTGACCCAGTGTAGAAGACCAGAACTTCTGCTCAGCAATTCAAGACTATTCTAAAGCGTTCCTCCATTATTTGCACTTAAATTAGCTTCATTGTGAAACAGTAATTAAGCAGCAGGGAAGATTCACCGCCTTAGCCTTTTATTCTTGATTCTAATTTACATGATTAAATTCTAACTTATTCACTGATTACCTTCTTGCTTAGCATGCTTTACATTCTCACTTTCTTTCCTTCTATCCTTGCTTCTTTTGCTGGATGTAGCAGTTTTGGTCCTCACCAATCCACAGTTTTCAGGATGCTTGTGCACATCACCCTGTCAGCATAATGAACCATAAATACATGAATCAAATATTAATATATGTAAGCGCTTTAACACAAAAAAAAATCCCCAACAAATATTGTTTTGGCAGGCAATTCGTACATTGTGTGAAGGGCTAACTTAGTTAACAACCTCCATAAAACTCCTGAAGATTTGTTCAGAACACATGCTAAGAGTCTGTTTGAGAGGAACACTGTACATCTGATTTTATATTCAGTCATTCTTTTTTTTTTCTGCATAAGCAATAACGTAAAATCTGTGGGAAAAAAGGTTACATTTGTTTTAGAAATTTGCACATTTAATAAAAAAAAATGGATCTACATTCTCACAGCATACAGCTTTTGAATAAGTGAATAATAATTTCATAGTCATTTTCTTGCTGAACTGGTCCTAGCACTCTTTCCCTTCACTTATCTTCTTGAGTTCTTCATTTTGTCTTAAAATTCATACCTCCATGCTGCTGCTTAGTTTGAAAAGGCTACTATACTCAAAATGAATAACTTCCATACCAGATTGTACAAGCCAGTCCCAACTCTGAATGTACGATGTGGCAGACATTCTCTGCCAAAAGGGGAATACTATAATGTGCTTTATTAATCGACCAATGTAATGTTTGGAAAAAAAGACACCAAAAATCTGCTCTGCTGGTTTAGCATTAAGGAGTTAACACTCCACCCAGTAAACTGCTTTTTATTCTCTGTTCTTCCTAACAGTATAATACTAAATACTTAAAGATAACTCCACAGAGATTCCTTAAAACAAAGTATCTTCCCCAGAGTGAGGAGCCCTTACCACGTTCAGGCATTCGTTAGCTGTAGATTTCATGCTGGAATCACAATGCTTCTTAGAATGAATTGTGAAAAGCTGTTTCTGTTGAAAGGTTTTGCTGCAGCATGAGCAAGTGAAAGACTTCTCATCACTATGAGTTTGTTTATGTACAATTAAAAGACGTTCCTGAAACAAAGAAAATATTTGCAACATAATTATCCAGCTCTGTATCACATTCAACAAATCCACACAGGCACACAGAAAAGTACAAGAGCATTTACAGGCCCCTTCATTACCCTCCACTGTAAGCAGATGCTGAGGAATGCGAGTCACTGCCCAGTCCCTTGGAGAAGGTCACAGCTTCTCCTCCTGATGTCATTCATGTTTGCAGCAACCATAACCAAGTGAGGCAGTGGAACACATTCCCAGGGAAGTTGCAGATACCCCATTTCCAGCTGTGTTCAGGGCCACTGGATGGAGCTTAGAGCACCTTGATGTGCTAGAAGGCCTGTATCCTTAACGATCTTAAGGTTCCCTTCCAACCCAAACCATTCTATTATGTAAGAGCTTTTTTTTATCATTCTGTCCAGCATTCTTATGCCAATGTAGTGGTACTCAATTTCACCGTGCAAACCCAGGACAATAACAACAACAAAAACAAAAGCAAAAAATGATGTCTACACTACAGGCCTTGTGAATGGGCAAAAAGACAGATTTTTCAGATGGCTGAGAAAGGAAGCAATGGGAAAGCTTCAGAATGAGGGCAGAATGAAGATATTTTTATGTGACAATTTGCTCTATCAAATAGTGCTATTATGTTTTTTTGTTGTTGTTGCTTGTTTTTTTTAAATCACTTGTAGTTTCCATGGAAATAAGTAGGAAACATTACTTTTGGATCAACCTTCGTATTTCTCCATACTATCAGTTCAGCAAAAGATGCATGCAGTATAATCGATGCTTTCATTCTGGATTTTACAGATGTATAAAAAAATACTTGTCAGAGATACATACAGATCAGAACATCTGTGGACCTTTCATTTCAGCACACACACTAGCTGGACTAAAGATCTTACCTCCCCCTTTTTTTCTCCCTGTAAGTTAGAGAAAAGTATTTTTAAGTTTCTAAAGTGTTGCCTGTGCTGCAACGTAAAGAAATACAACGCACGTCTATGGTATTTGTGTGCTGTACACTTAGATGACAGCAAAGGTAAGCAATATAGCAACTAATTAAAAGTGGAATACACTGTCAAAGTCCAGTCTTCACTTAAGGCTGGAAAGCAGTGTGATCCTGACTGTGTTAGTGCAGTATGTTTACATGTTCAGAATGATTTTATCCAGCGGCACCGCTGAAAAATCACACAAAGCACAAATATTTGATTTTGTTCTCATGTCACTGAGGTGGACCATTCTTTCTTTAAACTTGTGAACAGTTCACATCCAAAAGATGTAACAAGACGGCTTCACTTTTCTGCATTCCTGTTTTATTTTTCATTTATGAACCATTTTTCTTGCAAACAAAACATAACAACTCTCTATTAGTTAGAATGTAGTAACAGATCTTTATCTTATTTAAGTAAGTATACCCAAAGTGAACCCTGCCTTGCCAAGTCATCCACTTAATATGCAATAATTTGTCAGTGAGTTTAAATACCTGCTTGCGTGCAGAGCAGCACTGATCACATTTGAAACTTTTTCCATCCCTGTGAATCTTCCTGTGCTGGGTAAGAGTGTAATGGTTGTGAAAAGCAGCTTCACAGTGACTGCACTGAATTGCCACTGCCATGTGTGAATGCTCATTTGGCAAGTGGACACCTGAACAGTTAAAATAATTATTTTAATGGTAAATTTTGGATCTCCACAAATTTGAACAAGAGTTAGATTGTGCGTAGCCCTGAGTAACACATTGGTTATAGAAGAAAATGGAAGGAAAAAAAGGTCCTTCTGTACTCTCAGCAACAATTCCAGAGTAATCAAGCATTTATAAGCTGAAATATCACTGATTTTAATGAAAACTGTTTAACAAATCAAATCCCTTTGAAAATTCCAGTAACTGCTTTCACCTACACAAGATTAATTGCAAAATGCTGCCCAAAGTAGTCTGTTTATACAAAGGAATTGTGACATGTAGATAATAATTCCATTTCGACCTGGAAATATTTAAATCTGTTAAGTGGCACCTTTCTGAAAACACAGATAGATACTGAAGACAACTTTGCCTAAATATTTTTAATATAGCTATTTCATAACTTCAAAAAATCTAATGCTGTATCTAGCTCTTCTTGGTATTGGTCAACTGTATCACTTAAAATAAGTAAATATGCTCTATTTCTTAATACTAATTTCTTAATAAAACTCTTACCTGTACAAGAATATTTTCTTCCTAGAAGAGAACTGAATTTACACATGAAATAAAGCCACAGCGACTTTACAGAGAATCAAGTAATCTTCCAAACAAGAGCTGTTTAAAAATGTAGTACATGAAATCACCAGAGAATCCCAAGGACTTGCATCTGCAGATGCATGGTAATTTTAACTTTTATTTTCAGTATCAATCTGTATACCAACACTGTTTGATATGGATGACAATGGGGAAAAAAAATTAATTAATTTTCTGCGTATAGAATAAAAATGAACTTACGCAGTGCTCTATTTTTTACATTCTGGGAGAAGACCCAACCAGAGAAGAGGTATTTCAGTTTATCGTATCACCTTCAATGTTTCATGATTGTTATACAGCCTGAAAATAATATTAGATATTGATATAAGTAAATTCAGAATCCTACAGGTATTCTGGAGGGGAAAAAGACCAAAATACTTGACGCTCTGTATTTCAAACAACTTAAAGCATCAACCACAAGATGGCACCCCATCTCCTTGCAGGAACTTCCCCGTAAATCAGCAGTGACCACATTTTCTATAGAATATTCTGTAATGATGTAAAGTCACAGAATGCATTTGGTATCACATTATAAGCAGTAACAATTAGAAACATTTCGGCCCTAATTATCTCTACATTCCCTTTTCTCCCCTGCTTTAAACTCACCCAAATCTCTTTTCTGTGCAATATAGGCACTGCAGTGTGGACACTGGTATTTTGGCACATTTTCTCCATGCTTCCTTAGCATATGTGCTTTCATGTTACCACTCTGAGCAAATCTGGTGTGGCAAATGCAACATTCATGTGGTTTTTCACCTATTAAAATGTGAATATATGCTTAGGAATTCTGTAATCGATACAAACACTAAATTCACACAGATCTGAACATCTAATTTTTAACAGCAACAGCCAGACCAACCAAAATGTAACGTTACCTTGTAACACACGAAAGGCCAACAAGTTTACATCGCCCATTCCTATGCAAACTCTTGGTTTCCTGAATCTGCAAGTCAAACTGACGAAGCATAAAACCATTAATTCTAAATTATTAATCAGGAATTATCCTCATTATCTTTTATTCCATCTTGTAGATGGATATTCCATTTCTTGTACAAAAATGCAGTATTACGATTGAGCGCACAAGGAGAAGAAGTGAATGGCTGTGACATCATGATAAAATTGATTCAACCCCAGCCATCAATATTGGGGAAATATTTTTTTTTTCCTTGACTTTCTTTCTCAGAAATCCACATCAGCTCTGAATATCATCAAAAATTACATCAGCACTGGCAATAAGCACAGTCTAAGAGCACAGAGAAACATCCAGTGTTGAGGTTTTGAGCCAACTCCAGTTGGCCCTAAAGGCTGAGCCCCCACCATGACTGGATAACATTAGGCCCACTTTTAGACATTTCTGGTCAATTCCTTAAAAAAGAAGTTAGTCTGTTTGCACCAGACTACTCTGAAATGTAAATCAAAGCATAAGTGGGCATATTTAGATGTGAAACACACTCCCATTCGTACTAAAATGTCAATCACATTACATTGTGATTGAACTGAGTTGAAACCTGAATTCTGAGGTAGATACTAACTACGTTCTCAGACAGTACGCACATTACAGAGTCATGCTCTGTGTGCATCATGTTAAAACAGTTTTATTGTTTACTGGTCAAATTTGGGCATGATCAATCTGAGGTCACAACAATGTGAAATAAGCAAAATGCATAAAGAATGTGCTTTTCAGGTATGCTTTTGCTCAAAATCACAAATGAAAAATGTTGTGATTTATAGTCTGAAATCAGGTCACAAGGAAACCCATGAATTTTGAAGGCCTATAGAAGACATAGGCATAAATCATTACATTGGGGAATCCTACCTGAATGAGTTGCCAAGTGTCTTTTCAGTTTATATGCATCTTTGCCAGCATAACTGCAAAGGTAACAGGCATAAGGACGCTCTCCTGTATGTGAGCGAATGTGTCGCTTCAGTTTACTTGCCTGGCATAAAAATAAGACAATTTCTGCAGTAACATTTACATCTATAGAAGTACAAACAATTAAAATATAAGCACATTCACAAAATACATCTACTGCAATTTTAAATATTTCATCAGTTGCAGACTTAGTGCTGTCTGTTCTGGTTTTAGGTGATATTCTGTACTCTTCCCCCAGATGATCTTGCTTCCATTTTAGTACCAACATAAATAAAAGGAGAACCCTTAGCATGAGAATAGAAAAAGTCACATTTTAAAATTGGCTGAAAAGAACACGAATTACCTTCATGCTACTCAGTATCCCAAATTTAAAATGTCCAAACTCATTAGCCAAAGCCTTTATTCATCTTCAAGTTCATGTAAAGAACATTCATTGCAGAAGTCTAGTTCATTCTATTTTTTAATACTGTTTTTGTCCTACATGAATAACAAGTATGCAAGTTAAAATTAGGAGTTACCTTCTGTATAATTCCTCCATACTTAATGAGCTCACTTCTAGAACCACTTAAATCTACCATACTATTGACTTCAATAGAATTAAGCATGATTATTTCCCCACTTTTGTAGCCCCTGTGGTCCTTTCACAAGTCAAAGTCAACTTTGGCCATTTGGCCAGTGCAGTGTACAGATGTACATTTGCACTGCAAGCCAAGCATTAATACTGTTTGACATATACAACTTAGTATCTGAAAGCCTACCAGCTTTCCCTAAAGGATTCAGAAATGCTGTACTTACTTCTACACTTGAATATTTACACATTGAACACTTGAAAGGTTTTTCAAAGGTATGCTTGTAACGCCTGTGCCGTGCAAGCTCACCGCTGGTCACAAATGCCATATCACAGTCACTGCATTTATTGGGTCTGGTCCCTGGAAGAATATATCGTTTCTTAGAACCTTATTTAACAGCTGTATGATTTGTCTGCATTGAATCAACATGCACAATTTTTATCAGAACCTTTCTGTAACTCTATTTTTTTTTTTTAAACAGACAATAAATATCCCCCATACATTGATTATGAACACCTGCTTTGTCAATTTGCTTCACATTGTTAAACAGTCACAAAGAAAACATCAGAGAAGTTTCAATCATGCATACAAAAATCTGACAAAACTGAAGCAAATTTTCAGTTGATAAAAATTCTTAGAATGGTAAAAGGTAACACAGCATTGCAAACAGTCCACATCCTTTCAGTGTAGAACTCAAAACAAAACTGGTGAAACTTCTGAGGACAGAATGATCACAGAATGCACCTCTAAGTCTGCCACTCGCCCGTTGATTAAATACTGCAGACAATATGTAACAAGGAATAACTGCACACATTAGATACCTGTATGCACATTCACGTGGTTCTGCAGGAGAGCAGCTGTTCGAAAAGCCTTGAGGCAGACGTGACACACGTGACGTCTTTCTTTAGAATGGATTTTCCTGTGATGGCTCAGACTTGATATCTTGAGCGAGGTGTATGTACACAACCCACAGCTGAAGACTGCTTTTTCTCCTGTGAGAACAAAGACGCGTTCAGATCATGAGATACAAAAGAATGACTTCACCCTTCAAAAATAGTACTGAATTCAATATAGTGCCTCTAGTTTAGGGAAAGCTACCTCACATTTATACATAAAAGTGCTTCAAAATGCAATAATTTCTGCCTGACAGCTTGCCTTTTTGTAATGTACCTATTTAAGACTTAAGCAATTCACCCCAAAATAGTGCCATGCATTAGTGATATAGCTCAGAACCTAATTCTAGGAATCCTACCTCTAGTCTAACTCCCACCTCCAAGAGAAGATGAAGGTAGCTAAGACATGGTTCATCAAGGCACTTCTAAACAATGCAACACACTTCTTGTTGTCAACTGCATGATCAGTACTAACAAATTTAAAGATTTGGATATGGCAGGCTAAGCTATCCTCAGCTTTCAGTGAAGTATATGTAAAATCTGTTATGATGTAAAAGCTTCTACCAAATTATTAGTTGACTTCAAGGCAAGATCAACTCCTTGAAGAAGACAGAACAAAGTTACAGGATTATACAACATTTCCAAGTTCTTATCACAGCAGTAACAAATTTCTTTGAGAGTAACAAGCAAAGAGGAAGCATGCTGCACTTTCAGTTTTGAAAAGGATTCAAAACTGCAAAATGGCAAATAGATCATATGAGAAGAGCCTTTCCAGAACAGTTGCCTCAGCTCCCAAGTGCACTTTGTAATGTTTTTCATGCTGAGACCAGAATACATTTTTTACAGTGCTTCATAGCACACAGAACATGCAGCTAACACTTCAGTAACAGCAAACAAGACTGCTTTATTTTTATTTATTCACTATGGATTCATCCCACAGAACAGAATTTCCTTTGCGTTGTTAAACCTGCTCAAGTGTGCTCCCTTCAAACACAACATCTAAACCAAGGTTCATTATTGATTAGTACAACATCCATACTTCAAACTTCCTCCACCAGTATACCTTCATACCCAGATATGATGATACACAGATTCTTCAACTCCACTGACGTCATCCAACTTTCAGAGTATAGACATACAGATTCTAGGGAAAGTCACTTCACATGCCCTTTAAGCCAGTCCTTAACCTCTGCAACACACTTTTAACATTCCTGAAATATTAAGACAGCTACGTTCCATTACTCTTATTTAGGTTCTGGGAGATAACCTTGCTGACAGGCACTTATATTTGCCTACCACTCTCAACCAGCAATTGCAACCATTCTAAGCTCATCCATAAACCCCTGAATCTTGAAGCTGAATGGACCAAGGAAGATTAAATAAATTATAAGGCTTATTCAAAGGCATTTATACCCAATCTTAACTTTGACAGCTCCCTGGAGGTTTTAAAAACCACATCATGTTATCTTTCTTCAAAATCTAACTTAAAATATGTCATCAAATAATTAACTACAAATATTATAGTCACTGTTTACCTTTCTTCTGAGGTGAAGCACTCATTTGAGATTTTAGATACTTGGGATTTCTTATAACTGCTTGTACTGATGGAGATGCATGTTTGTGGTTTTTATCTTCATCATGCGAGTCTGACAAATCATCACTAGCTTTACAGCTCAGACCCTCTGCTTCCTTTTCTCCATCCTCTTCAGATTGGGCCAGTTGCTGGACCTTATTGTCAAATTCAGTGACATCATTATCTCTGTTAACCTACTTAAATAAGAAGTTAAGCTGCCTTAATCAAAAGTATTATAAATCAGTAGTTAGCATAGATTTAATACCAATGTTTCATGTCTTTTCAATACAGCACATTTCACATGAAATCATATCACACATCCAACAACCACTGTTGTATAATACTCATATAAAAGAACGAAAATTATCTAAAACTATTTAACAGACCTAGGCTATGAAAAACAGAAGCACCACAGTGCTTCTGATGAATTGAATTAAAAGTTTGTCTGAGCTGTAGCAGCTTAGAGCTAGTAATCTAGAAAGGCTACATTTTTTGTTTGCTTTTTTCAGTATGGCATGAAAACACAGAGAGCTGTACAAAGGATTAGCTATTTCAGTCCAACAAATCTCATCACTTAGGAAAAATGATACTAAAGTCAGAGCAGTGTAAGTGTGATAGTACAAGCTAACAACTATCATATTGCCACCGTCACCACATCCAAAATTTGTACCTCAACCAGCAGCATGTCATGTGCTTCCTCCATCGACTTGTTCCCCGAACTCTCTGCCTTTCCTTCTTGCAGAATGTTAATCTGCACCAAGCCCAAGTCACACAGATCACAGACGGCCTCGTGCCCACTCACTGGCACGCCCTGCCCATGCTGCACCACCACGGCCACTGTGGCTGGCATCGCCAGCATCACCTCCTCCTGACAGTGGGCAGTTATGTAACAGATGCCCTCGACGTCATCTTCCTCAGCCCTTGAACACACCGTCTGTAGCGCCAGCAAATGCTTTTCACCGTCTTCAGGAGACAGGGACCACTCTGTGGGGTCACTTGTCCCCATCATCGCATCACTGACACCACTCCTCTCCTTTTCTGGGATTATCCTGCCCTCATCACCCTCTTCTGTTCCATCCTGGTTTCTTACAGCACCCTTGATTTCGGTGAAAGGCGCCAGCAGACCTAAGACCACATCCATCACTGAAGAAGCCTGTTTAGAAAGCAAAGTTAAAACAAGGGCAAATAAACCGTAGGCTTTCCAGCCAAGCTCCCCAGCCTTGCTCCTCAGCTCTGAGCCCTCCACGAACACAGCTGCACCTCTGTGTCCGCTCTCACCGTCCCCTCATGACCCCATCTGCCCACACCTCCCTGACCACCATCTTCCACATGCCCTCTCCTTCCCCTCGCGCTCAGCCACGTCCCCCAGCCGAGCTGCCTCCCTGCAGGAAGTGCCCCCAGCCACACGCATCCCCCAGGGCAGGCACAGCCCAGGGATGTGGGACTGGGCCAGGCTGGGCGGCCCTCAGGCGCACACTGCACACAGAGCTGGCCTGCCCCCAAGAGAAGGGCTTACCCAGGCTGTACCAAGGGCCCATGGCAGCACCTCAGCATGGTGACACTGCCCTGGCAAATCTGCCTTTCAGCGAGGGAGAGGCCTACCCGCTCGCTGGTTTTTCACCGTGTGTTCCCCAGAAAGAGGCACAGGGGCTGTGGCGGTGGAGCAGACGGTAGCTCGGCAGACCTCCTGTGGTGGGCTCCCTACACAGGTCGGCAGAAAGCGCAGACCTCAGCATTAATTAGGCCCTTAACCTTCTGCCCCTGCTCAGCTGGAGACCACACGGTGTAGCTCAGTTGGTTTTTTCCACTTTTCAAAGTATTTGAAGTGATTCCCACGTTTCCCATCCGGAAGCACTCAGCCTGGTGCCATCTCTCCAAGACTGCTGAAGAGCTGGCTGACGGCAGCACTGCAGCATCTCTTACCTTCACAGATTAAGTATTATGCAAAACTGACTGAAGTGCATTGATAGAGGCAGTGGAGTGGTATATAAACATCATTATATTATACTTTAAGCCACTGCTGGTTATTCAAGGAGAACAAGTTTTGGATTAAGTGTTCTCCAAAGGTATTGTAAAAATGTTTCTGAGGTAAACTTGTGAGATTTGAGAGACTAACATTTAATCTTGTGTACCTTTCCAGACTAGTGATTTCCAACACTCAAACATCTCACAAGGCCCACTTATCATTCATACTCTATTGGAAACCAGTGCAGAGGAAGGATGTGGAGCCTTCCCTCTAAACGTTAGGTACGATGTAACACAGTGCACTGCACAGCTGCTATAGCCAAGTATGAGCCAGATCCCACTCAACACTTTACTGACCTTAAAAAATATCCCTCGCCAATTTATGGTTTTCCTCACCTGTGTAAGTGACCCCTTGAAAGTGGCATTTGTGAAATATCTTTAGTTCAAAGTAGCAGCAATGCTGGTGGTTTGTTTGACTTTATAGTTCCATTAGACAAGGGGGTATTTTGCCCAACACCAATATTATACTGTGTTCTTCTGAATACAGTAAGCACTACTGGGTATCCAGGAGCCACATGAGCCCTTTTTCAAATAATTTGGCAGGGATTTCTTTATTTTTGTGTTCTGAGTACGTAAGATAGCACACGTTATGCAGCTCTGGATTTCTACAAAAGGTGCAGCCATGAAAAGTACCTCAGTGGTAAGGCAGCAACAGGCTGTAAGGATAGCAAATTAAAATTTTCCTGAAAAATGAATATAATGATGAGCCTGATATTAATTAGGTCATTGACCTTATTGGACCTTATCCTCAGAGGCAGCAGATTCCTGTAATTCCCACAAATGTCCTTAACACAGCTACTCTTATCCACAAATCTGTAGAGATGCAAATGCAAGAACAATATAAAATTTTTACCCTTAGTGACTGCAAATTAGTCATAACTATTATGTTACAACAATTCAACACAAATCCAAAGCAATTATTTAAGGAAGAGTATGTATTCCATCAATTTAGGGCTAATATTTCAGTGCTGGTACCACATTATGAATAATCATCTGAAACTGTATATATGCAGCTGACATTATAAAAGCTTCATTATGATGCAACATAAAACATACGTACTTCAAAGTCTTCAGCTTCATTCTCTTCCCATGTTTTAGAAAATCATTTCAGATAGATTTAGAGGCTGTGTAACCAGCCTTTCTTGTGTATTTTACACCTCCATATTCCTATCATAGGTCCTAAACTATACCTCTCTGATACCAACAGGATTGCCATTAATTTAAATGCGTTTGGAATTAGGCCCAGAATACTACTAATCAAGTAGTAATGGTATTTACACATTTATGACCTGTCCACAAAACTCGGGGCTGTTATGGTACAGTGGATAGAAAAAACCAAAAAACATACCAAAGCAAAAAGCCTAACAAATAAGCCCCAGTTTAACCTGTTCATAATCATTCACTTTTATGATATTTCTTTTCGTAGTTAAAAACTCCATTCTCCTCTGGAACATGACTCCTGTTACCCTACTAGGAAACTCAGTCTTTGTTGTG